TATCTCTGGCTATACTCTATAGTATCTTTGAAGAAATTTAAACTCTGGTGAATCCAAAATCTTGCCCCTTTTGTTTCTATTTGATGAGGTGTGTTTTTGAACAAGTTATAAGTGACAGATTTGAAAATAAACTAGAGCGTGATCAGTGTCCACATTAGCGAGACGGTGAATGTTCCCCTTTTGAGCAACTACTATCGGTGAAGTTAAATGTTTTAGATCAAATTTGTAAGCTTGAGATCGGCCTTGTTGTACAAGAATATACACAGGACTCATAGACGTCGTAGTTTGTGTTTCGTCTTGATGAAAGCATTTGTCTTCCATAATCTGAAAGACATGAATGTGGTTCTGTGATTAGGGTTGATTATAAAAATGAAACACAGTAACTGATAAACAATTATTTCTAAAGAAGAAGTCACAAATATTGATCATTTTTGTTTAAGGAAGTCAATCACAAAAACATGTCCATTTTAGGTTTACTGCATGAATGAAATTTGCATTATTTGGTTAAAAAACCCTTAATTTTGTCGCAAACTCATTAATAATTCATTAAGAAAACACAAAAGAAATCATGAGCGTGAAGAAGTTTGTATATCTGATACAAAATCCTGCTGATTTACATAAATTTTAAGTTCAATTTTCTCACCAAATATCATTCATTTATTTTAAATTGTTTGAAGAATACGAATGAAGACGTTTCACAAGCTATTTATATAGTACTTTAAAGGTTTCTGTATCAGATATGCAAGCTCCCTCACTGTCATGATTTCTATTTGTTCATGAATTATTGATGAATTTAAGTAGCTGTAATCTTATAGGCCTAGCACAATTCAATAGATCGTTAATCGTTGAACCGTGATTTGTGGGCGGCCTACAAAGGCGAGGTCTGACGTGTGTGAATATTGTTTCATCCACACCTCTGAAAATAGCAACAGTACAAGTAGGCTTATGTCACCTTTTGACCTCTTAAACTCAACTCCCACTGTAAATCATTAATGCAAACAAGATGGAAATACAAAAAGCATTCAATAACACAATTGTAATATAGAATTCACTTTAATTAGATGCTTAAACGACAAACTAAACAATCACTGCAAATACATCACGATAGGTCGGTTTGAGTACATATATAAAGAGCGTTTATATTTATTTGTGAATCAGTTGGTATATATATATATATACGTAAATTTAATTATATATGGTTATATTTCGATCCTTACGTCTTAGTCCATATCCTGGGTTTTCCAAGATGTTTTCATTTTTCGGCTTTTGTTTTATATTCTTAAATTGTCGACTGGTTTATTAATTTTCCACCAAATACAAGACTACTACATATAATGAAAAGAATTGACAAAATTTTCTCTGATAATTAACTGCTGGTGTATAAACCCACCCATAGTCATAGATCAATTATTCTCATACTAAACCGCCTTTTCCTCATTCAGTGGGCAAAATAAAATAACAACTGAAGTATAGGGTGTGCTATTTAGACTTGCTCTCAGCCTACATCTCAAAAGCTTTTTTTATTTGGTAGCTATAAATGGTGCGCGAAAAAAATCTGGGTGGGAGGTATTTTAGGACTATAGGTACACTATAGTCAATTGCGGCTTAAAGGGTTTATAAGTTTGTGCATGTGTGTTCGCAAGAAGTATTCTCAAAGTAGCCTTAAGCTCCGCGTATAGACGGGCAATTTTTCTTCCACAAGTTTTATTTGCTCGTGTGTACAGCAATGACAAATTTTCCTTGCCAAGGTCAAAGGAGCGTTGTTCCAAAGATAGTCACGCCAGCTTTTGAACGTGAGAAATGTTTAAGAGGCAATTTTTTTCAATGTCACGTATTTGCAATGAAAAGTGTTCAAAACCTAAAATGTTTAATTAAATTACTTTGTTTTAGCTTTATTCTCTAGTTTATAGAGTTAGCAACCTTTTTAAATGCATCTGCCGGTTGAGAAACATAAAATAATAGTTAAAAATTGTTAATTTAAACACAATTATCAATGATGCTTTAAAATTGATGCCATATTTATAGTCATATAAGCAAAACTTACTGAACTTCAGACGTCATTTTTTCTTTGGCGTATCATCTAAAATCTCTTCATTTTGGCATTATGTTACAGATAAAGGACTAAACTGTCTAAACAAAATTTTTAAGTTTGTTTGCCGATTGAGAAACGTATCGAAAAATAAAAATTTTGAATTTAGTCATAACCTCAAGTGATATATTATACGCATTAGTTTTGAGCGCGTGTTACGTAACATAAAAAAACTCATTCCGATACACGAGCAACAAAAACTGTCAAGCTAGGCCAACTTGTCAAGGGAAACTTGTTCACCGCACACACGAGAAAGTAAATTTATCAAGGAAATTTGTCAAGAAAAACTTGCTTGTCTGTATGGGGCTTTGAAGAGAAACGCACTGATCTCATTGTAGAAACATAACACTTATTGCAGTACATACTGTGGAAAACATGTAAAAAATTCTTATTTTTATGCAAATCTTATTACGATTTTCTCATAAACTCAAATTACTTTTAAAGATCTAGAACTTTCAAAATTTCCAGTTTTTCGAAACTGAAATTCTGTCGGCGTGCTCATTATCATAATTCGCTCTAATTAATTAGCATATTCTGCATCTAGACCATCCCACGCATGCAGGAAACATCCGAGGCGTAATGGGAAATGATAAAAAACAGTGGCGCATTTTACCAAGGAAATACATCCACGTTTTTCCCCTTCAGTGAACCTATTAGAACGTAACGCCTCTTCCTAAAATGTTTGGCTCGTTTCTCATCCCGGAAAAAGGCAGTTTCCAGGCATGCGTGCAGACACTCTAGAACATTCTGTCTTAAGTAATTCGGATAAAGTTTTAATGCTAAGCTGCCATTGATTAATTCCGAGGGAATAAATTAAAATTTTGATTTGAGAAACAAAATAGACCGTAAAAACGGAAATATAGAAAGCAAGTGTGATTGATTATACGGCAACTTATAGCGTGTTTAAGTATGTCAACGCCTGTACGGTCAGTAAAGGTGAATGTTTAAAATCTTGCCAGTTTTGCTGTCTTGTCAGTTAAGATAGTCACACGAACTTGTCAAACTGATTTGTGTAGAAGAAATCAATATCCGATAAACGGCCACGTCAGTCAAACGTTAAAATATTTTTCTTTTCCAGAAGCAACATCTGGCAAAGGTTAAAAATTGATTGAATACTAGGAGTAGTATCTCAGTGATTAGTTGACTGGAAGCTAAATAGAAAATGATTTAAATAACTTCAGTGTTTTTTACAACTAGAAAGATCATTTTCAGTCTTTGTTTTGACGAAGTCTTTGTTCGCGCTGACCGCACTCGGCCGATGACGCGCAGTGAATACAAATTAGAGTCATTATATTTCCCACATAGAAAATCAATTTGTGGTCAGTGTGCGCATTTTTCTGCGTCCTGAGAAAAACAACAATAGCCCACGCGTGGACGCAAAGAAGAAAGACCACGGCTATCAATACAATGATATTTGAATCATATGGCACATATGAAAAAATCGAAACTGTATTAAATTCAAACGAAAGTAAATAGAAGACAAGATTTTTAGATTTCCATACAACCATTCCCAACGAAGGGTCTTCGCTCAAAACGTCAAAGTTCTCCTTGTATTTTTCAGGTAGTTTCAACCCTGTCAACCCGAAGCTTCTTATTGCCACTACCTTCACTGACGTAGAGAGTTCATTTAGTCAAACAGTTTGTTTACTTCGTCGTCCTCACGTCGCCGTACTACGTGCGTGACTCCTGCGTGCCACAGGAATTGAGATTTGGTCGCTGCGGAGCAAACCTAAGCCACAAAAGCAGTAACCATGCAATAACTACTCCATCACCAGATTAAGGAAAACCCTAAACAAATATTCTGAAATGAACCTGTGTCTTTCATAAATAAACCGTTCAATGCCGGATGAAATAAGGATTGGAATGTGTCAATGGGAGTTGCCGTCAGTCACGCTATTTCGTTTCGACAACTATGGCTGATTTTCAAGACTTATTTTCGACTGCATGTATTAGTGGAACATCCTGATCTGAAATTAGTGGACATTTTGAAGATTGGTCTGGTATTATGGTGAATTTTTAACCATCAAACGTCTCCGTGCCACTCATTCTATTGACTCAACTATTTGATCCGGCTTTGAGTTCTGTGTACACACATTGTGATTACTTCAAAGCAAATAATTGGGTTGTAAAGCCAAAATACGTCATTGGCACATCTATCATAATCTGTGTACTGATTCGCAAACAAACATTCATGCCCTATTATCCCAATTGCTACAGGGCATATTTTTGCTTTGGCACCTGTCGTCTGTGCCGTGAAAGCTTTCATGCACTTTCATCCAATATGTTTATCTCGACTTCTTTTCAGGTTTAAGTGTAAACATTGTCATGTTGCTTGATAACTTTTCAAAGGCTGATATATTATGGAATATTACGACAATGAATGGTATGAACGTAAGCTAAGGTAAGGTTTTCTAAAAACAGTCATATGTTTTAAAACTTTCAAAAGAAAGGCGGTATTTCCAACTCGATGGCGGTATAGTATAGTAATGTTAAAGTTATATTCTCGTGATCTGACTCACTACATGTAGATATATTGGTGTCTCTTTGCCAAATTGCGGCTTAAAAATACTGGGTTCCTCTACTGGTGCTGCCCCCGCGCGGGCAAGCTGCCCGCAAACTACCCATTGTTTCACCACCCTCGCTTCCCACGAAAGCCAGAAACCATAATTAACCTCAATGTGACCCGAAAACCTCCGTGGAATTTAAAGCTTTCCTCTAAACACCAAGCAAAGTCTTTCATTGTTGAGGACTCGGTAAGTCACTAGTCATCGTATTAAGATCGCCTGTCAATCAGAAAATGGAATGCTAAGTGCCAACCAAAGCGATTGACATCACCTCAGCGGATAAGGAATCAACTAGATCCGATTAATCAACGCCCTCAACAGTGATCACCACTTAAACAGCTATTAATTGCTTCACTTGGGTGTGACACACACAGTGTTTAAAGCAGATCGCTCACAGACACTTCGCATAATTCGCGCATACCGCAGTTTGCGCAAATCAATCGACATCGCTTCCCTACTCGAGATGGCTCTGACCGCGCGCAAGTTCACGTCGTTCGGAATAAGGGATATTCTTTCTGATAAATTCGAAACCGCATCGAAACCATTGTGTGAATCGAGTTGTTGTCAGAACTGCAATGAATTGACGAATGTTTCGAATATATTTCTACAAAGTGGAAAACATTTTTCGCCCAAGAGCAAAGGTAATGTGTTTACATGTTTTTTATTAGGCCTAGATTACACAACATCAGAACTTTTTATTGCATCATAAAGTATCTCATTTATAACTATTCATAGAAAGAAAGAAAGAAAGAAAGAAGAGATAAGTTTGTTTGAAAGTTTATACTGGGCAATGTAATAATCCAATAAAGAATTCTAGTGGTATCAGGAAATATTCTTAAATATTGAGTCCTATATTGACACAAAGGAAATATCATTGTATTTAATACTACTGTAATAAACGTTTGCCTTCAATTTTTTTATTTATATACTGGTTCGTTCGTAAACGTTTGTCAAACCCTTGAAGTCATTTATTATAGCTATAGACATAGTGATAAAACGCCTCAAAACAGCCAATTAAAAGGTTAAAAAAACTCGACTAGCCTCGTAATCGAGATGTGTCTTGGATCAGTCTTATAAACTTACATTTATTTTGGGTGTTTACGTTAATGATCACAGGCGTTGCGGAAAATTTATTTAGACAAGGTGAATTAGCAGTTTGAGGAAATATGCGATGATTCCCTTCCTACATTCGAGGGAGGCAAATTTGTTCAGGCAATTGGTATGCGCATTATGGCTAAAAATAAGCCAATATTGCCTTTCCAATAAACAAGTTATTTAATTTTGAATTTTTACTGTCAAAATATCGGGTGTTGATGGATTTATACTAGATAGCTCTATCAGTTCGAAACTGCTTTGCCGAGATGAAACGGTAAGGGTCATCCCTTATTTTGGACCGGGGTCCGCAGGGTATCTGCTGAGTTTGATAGAGTCAAACCGTGGAAGCACTCTGCCAAGACACATATTGAGGTCTTTATACCCAAAAGTCTTGTCTAAATGCTTGTGGTTTTGCGTGGAGTCGTAAATTCAGATGTGCATGTTTAACAATTTACTCATAGTATCTGGATTACTGAATTCAAAGGTCGAGCTCATGTTGCATAATTGTATATACTACAAATAAAAACCTTCAATCGTATATTTGATTTTTACTAAATTTATTTTTCACTTTTATTACACAGAATACCAACACACAAGCAGAACTGTTTCAGTCATTCAAAAAACAACAGAAGCGAACTACAGTCGCTTAAAAGAGAACCATTATGATCTCGAGAAATGTGGAAAAGATGACTCGGCAACACATGGCCGACGGGCAAGAACAGTGTATACACGAAATCAAGTGAAAGAACTAGAGAAAATCTTTCATATCAATCATTATGTCGATCTCGAGTCTCGGAAATCACTCTCGAAAAGAATTGGCTTGGAAGAAGACCGAATTCAGGTAATTTGAGGAATGACGTTAAATTGTTATCAATCACTAAAATTACGTCAGGGAATACCGTCATTATACATATGGTCCTTATCAAAAACTTTAAAAAAACTGATGTGCAAATTTAGCCAGTTTTAGAACTGATAGAGCTGTCCATGCAATATAAACTAAAGTTAGTTACAACTGCATGGACCCATAGATATCTTCTATACACTAGATAGTGCATCTAATTATATTCTGCAATTTAAAAATTGAAGCCGTGATTGCAGACTCAGGATATTCCCATGAAATGAGAAGACTCGTATATGTTTTCTATTTCTTAAACAGGGTTAAACCTATTCCAAATACATTTTCAAACTATTCAAATGATGAAAGTTATTGTTGTTTTTTAAGCGTTTATTAGCGAGTTTATTAAACTTCACATGGCCGCCATCTATTCAAATGGGGGTAACCGCTGGAATATTCTTGGCTTCAATTTTACTAAAAGAGATGCGCTATCTAGTTTATATAAGATATCTATACATGGACCTTAATTGCTGGACTTCTCTAGGGAGAACAATTTAGACTGGTAGAGCTATCCACTATATTCAGTATACTGAACCAAAGCTAGTTTAGTTTCCTCCTGTAAACACTGGAGGGCTGGAACAATAGGAGAAGGGCATTACTGGACTTCTAGGAAGCCTGGATACTTATAAAAACTGATAGAACTACCCTGACTAAACGGTCAACTTAGTCAGTATTGATAGGACAGCCGTATGATGTTGTATTATATATCGCACTGTGGTTCAATAATAAGACTAGGAAGTGTTTCAATATTATAAGACTAGGAAAGCGGGATCATTACATATATCCACATTGTAAAGCAGTTATGATAAAAATATCAATCAGTTGGTTTTTGGGCCACCTTTTAATCTCATTTTCTTCTTGAGTTTTCCGGCTGTTATTTCGAACAACGTTCAAACAAAATATGCCGTGAGCTTCTTCGCGTTCCGAGTTCGGCTAATTACTAATCAGTGTTGCGGAAGAAATTACGATGTAGATGCTGTGATGATAAGATCCGTGACAAGCAACAGTACAACAATTGACACCACGACAACTTAAAAATATTTTCTCTTCCTAACCAGGTCTGGTTCCAAAACCGCAGAGCGAAATGGCGTAAAACAGAAAAGGTTTGGGGAAGCAGTTCTCGAATGGCCGAGTACGGTTTCTACGGAGCGATGGTGAGATACTCCAAACAACTGGGCAAAGTGAAGGGACCTGTTTTAAAAACACCAGAAATTATGTCAAAACTGAAAGTTATACAGATCTAAAAAGAAATATGTATTAGTATTGTATATTTAGATCTTAGCGCGCTTATTTAAATCATAAAAATCATGTACATAATATGTTGGCTGTATTTAATGATAAAGAAACATTACACCATAAAAAATCGATGCAAATTTTCATTCATCAAAATTCCAATGTAATTATTATAATAGATGAATATACAGAGTATAAATGTGTATACTAGCACAGATGATATAATTCAAGTCTTGTACATAATAAAACAGATATATACTACATTTTACGCTTGTATATAAAAATTTATGAGAAAAATTTGGTTGCATCTTCCGTCAATCTTCATTCAGTATTAGATCAGTGGTGTTACCTACCCAGGTTCTAGAATCACCTGTGCATGCATGGGCAGTCACAATGATGGGGTCCACTATATTGAAGTCAGAAAGCCTAACACTAGATTTAGTCGTTGACATATTTCGCTATAATGGCCCATAGTGCGTTATTGCCTTTTCAAAACTCAGGATTCAACTATATATTTACTGATATGCAGTTTTCTGACCTCAGTCTGTCACGGAATTCTTGAAACCGGTCTTGGTTACACGGTACATTGTAGGAAAATTATTGGAGTCACATACTTTTTTAAAATGTTTTAATAAAACTACGAAATATAAACTTTAAAGACCATGTCAAGTCCGTAATGCAAACAAATCCTTTGTTTACATACTAACTGAATTTCTAACACTTTACTGGTTCGCTATTGTAAATGAATATAAACTAGAGTACGTTTCAATTCAAAAAAGTTCGAAAGATGCAAAATTTGGGGAATGTTTATATCTGTGGGTCCCCCTTTGTTATGAGCAGAACTGATGCGCAGAACGGACTTTGACATGGTCTTCGCTATAAAAATAAGTCCGCCATCTTGGTTCTTCCCGAATAAAAATATCCCTACCCCCCCGCAGAGCTACACAGCTTCCCCTAGCGCCAGGGTGGAAAGTTTGTAGGTTGCGCCGAAGATCTTCGGCGTGGAAAATCGAATTTTGCTCCATTTTGGCGCAGAATTATGGGGAAATGAACCGGTGTGGCGTACTGGCGTACGAAAATTTATTTAGTTATGCACACTACAACGTTCTCAACCATTTCTGTTTGTATTCCAGTCATGTAATAACGGGAATTTGATTGAGCACTGACTGTGAATATGTTTAAAACAGGATTTGTACAGCCACTGGCGCATGTTACTGAACCTTCATCAAATCTTCGGCGCACAAAAAACGAACTTTCCACCCTGGCCCTAGCGTTTTTGTTTTTAAAGCTAAAGATATGTGACACAATCGCATGTGAGAATGTAGTTGCCAGTTTGACTCTACCAAACAATGCAGGTTTTCTCTGGGTCCTCTGGTTTCATCCAACGATAGTACTGGATCAATAAGGGTTGGTGCTATCAAAGCATCAATGAAGTAAGCTTAGTTTTGATTTCCTCCTGTAATAACAATACTCAATAGAATAATAAAGTACTTACTGGACTCTTTAGGTATGCAGTATAAACAAAGACAAATAAAGTTAGTCTTGTTTCGTTTCAAACGTTGGAACTGGTAGGGCTATCTCGAATATAAACAAATATATTCAACGCATGCCTAAAGGGTCACAGGCCAGGGAAACAGAACTCCCCTCAAGTAAATCTCTGTGCAAATTTGATCAACTCCTGAAACGTGCAATTTCCGGCAATCTATTTTCCCATCATTATCTCCATAATGAGCGCGCTAAGCTGCACAATGACAGCATACTTGACCGGCTAAACATGGAAAACATTCACCAAAGAATGCAAGTATTGTTGTATGTTTTCAAAGATTAATTAAAAAATATTTTAATGAGTTTTGTTCGAGAAGTATGTTAAAAGCATATTTATTTACGCGCACAAAACATCACCCAAAAACAAAATAGTCGAAATAGGCATTCTAGTGTGCTTTTAACACTGTGCACTATACGAATTGAAGAAATTCTGTAAATATTAATATGACAGTGAACTCAGAAACAAACGCTAATCATTTTTTTTATCTCACGTACGCAAGAACCTCGACAAATTTATAACTTCACTTAATTATTATTCATGAAACTCATTAATAATTCATGAAGAAAACACAAAAGAAATCATGAGCGTGAAGGAGTTTGTATATCTGATACAAAATCATGTTGATTTACATAAACTTTAAGTTCAATTTTAATTTCTCACCAAATAGGAATACGAATGTTCTCATGAAGACGTTTCACAAGCAATTTACAACATTCGCGTCCGTGTTGTATCGGATATACAAACTCTTGCCATCGACTTCGGCTCGACTTTGTACATCCGATATAACTCGGCGCTGCTCATGTTGTAAATAGTACTCGTTGATCCAGTGTTCAGTTCGATAGAGTCAAGATGAAAGCACTCTTCTGAAGAGGTTAGTATCGACTACATATGATACGACATTGGACCCCACAAGAATCTTCACCGAGAGCCCGTTTTTTTAAAGTGGACATTCATATTTTTTTAACTTGACCAATCTTTGAGCATGTATTTGTTTTCATGCCAAACAAAATTAACTTGGCTAATGAAAGTGAATGTTGTTGACGAAACAGATTAGGAGTTGAGGTTTAGTCCAATCATGCATCTCATTAACACTGTTGGTGTTAAACATTTTGGCTTTGAAAATGAAAACAACAAACAAGAATATTATATTGCCATCGTAACACAAATGTTAAGCTTTCTACGACTTGGCAAGATTTTATAAAATGTAGATATTTTGTATACTGTAAACCTCCGAATACAAGCTCTGAGTCCCTGGGCTTATATTCGTTCGTACGCATTTTTGACGGCATGGACTTATACATGGGAGGGCTTAAATAAGGAGGGGGGTTGATGTTATTAATATTTATTGTACCTGTAAACTTTATACCGTGAACGAAAAGAAATATAAACATACAGCATATAATCTATACATAAAACAACTATCAGACATAAAACACTCCCGTGTTTTATGTCTGATAAAGCACTGACTGCGATCGTCTTAAATGGCTTAAAAGGCGACCCGTCTAAAGAGTTCATTGACGAAGTAATTTTAAAAATAAACGTTGTCTAAGCCGAGAAAATCAAAGCTAAAGTTTATGTAAATGAACATAATTTTTTATCACATACAAAACCACCGACATGGCAGTGATTTCCTTCGTCTTTTCCTCATGAATTATTAATAAGTTTTTTAACATATTATAGTGTATAATGTAATTATTGGCACTTGTCTGAGCTGTTGGAATTCCCGTTAATTAATAAACTGCTGTCCAATAATAAGCCCATGACTCTACTTCCCTATACTACAGAAAAGTTTTCTTTCATTTTCTTTTATAAGCTTTTCTTCCTGGTTTGTTTTTCAGAAAGAAGTTTTTCCTTCAGTTTCAACATTCGTGCATCTATATCGTTGGTGTAACTGGACGCCAGTTGCTGTAGAAGTAAGAAAAATAATATTGTCTAATTGGTTTTCAGTGTAATTGGATATTTACGCAGAAAGTCTCCAAATTCATCTCAGTGAATTCAGAATCTCAGAATAGGTACGCTAGGCGTACGTGTATCTGCGCGAAGGAATTCCTACCATCATCTACCATTATTGATTATTTAGCATCATCTACCATCATTCACAATCATCTACCACCATCCACCTCATCGACCATCACCCATCATCATCTACCATCCATCATCATCTACCATCCATCATCATCTATCATCCATCATCATCTACCATCATTCATCATCATCTACCACCATCCACCTCATCGACCATCATCCACCATCATCTACCATCCATCATCATCTACCATCATTCATCATCATCTACCACCATCCACCTCATCGACCATCATCATATACTATCATCTACCATAGTCATCTACCATCACCTACCATTATCTACCATCATCTATATCATACTTACGTCCGTGTTTCGTGTTTGTCTGTTTGTTTGTAATCTTCTTGAAGCGCTCTGAAATAGGAATGGTTAGCAACTTTAATTTACGAAGGACAGACCTAGGCCAAACTCGAAAATTGCGGAGATAGACAACAGCTTCCTACCTTGTAGTTAAAATATTCAGGTGAAAGTCCTTCCAAGTAAAGGATTTTTTCCTCCAGTTTCTTAATGCGACTGTAGACACCGTGTTCAACAGATTTCACTGCAAAAATGACAAACAGTCGAAGTTTTAAACCTGCAATTTCGGGCTGTGTAAAAGGGTATAGTTCGTGAAAATTAAAATTTTCTGCTGTGATTTGTGTGAACTACCTTAAAAAGATTACAGTTGATTTCACATAACTTTTCCCTGAATGTTGCGAATCAAATGCATTGTTTACAAACCAGTTTGTGAATATGATTATGAACTTTTGAACTTCGGAACGATCGTAACGAAGTTTGCAACATTTAGGGAAAAGTTATGTGAAATCAACTGTAAAACACCTCAATCTGACCATGAGGTCAGATTTGGCTACCAACCACCTTTCTCTCAAAATGTTGAAATGTTTTGACCTTTTGAACGTAATTCAGACACAAACTTAACGATAGCAGTCTGCTTTTTGAAGCCTTACCACTTAGCTTGAGATGTGATTCCATATTATCAAGACGTTCTTGCACTCCGTAAGGCAACTCTTCTGCACTGTCTGAGGTCTTCTGTCGTTTGGACGGTAGTGAGTAAAGCATGGTGTCAACCGTTACAGTATTGTCTGATTCCATTATCTCGTTCTCGCGATCAGCATCTGTTACTGAAATTTTTTTATTCATTGTTACACGAATTAGGAAAATCACATTGCAGTTGGAACTAATCAACTAAAAGTGATCTTTTATTGATCCAGTGTTACTATAGGAGAAAACATAAACTAACTATATTTATACTGGATGTCTTTATTAAGTGTCTGTATTAAGCTTCACGTTTCCGGGAACGGCAGGTTCGAACTTTCTTGGCAAAATGTTCGTTGAACTCTGCTGTGTTGGTGTAATGTACTCAGGTGAATAAGATGTTTGTGTGATGTTACTCTGAGTGTATATCCACACCGGGCAGGCTTGAAAAATATGCCTGGCCACGGCGGGATTCGAACCTACGACCTTTGGAATACTAGCCCAATGCTCTTCCAACTGAGCTACGCGGTCAGGACGGTTCGAGTAAGCGATATTTCGGAACTGAGTCTAGTTCCTTCGATATCAGTGTAATCTAAATATTAGATTACACTGATATCGAAGGAACTAGACTCAGTTCCGAAATATCGCTTACTCGAACCGCCCTGACCGCGTAGCTCAATTGGAAGAGCATTGGGCTAGTATTCCAAAGGTCGTAGGTTCGAATCCCGCCGTGGCCAGGCATATTTTTCAAGCCTGCCCAGTGTGGATATACACTCAGAGTAACATCACACAAACATGTTCGTTGAACGTTTTCGTTTCATATTTTCTTTCTTGCGTCGAAAGAATAATTATGTATTTCAGTGTAAAAAAGCAAGTTTATTTACTCTTTATTGCCTGATACTGTAAAATGTTTCTTTGCCTGGGGTTTGCCGTTTAACGCGAAGCTTAAACTCTCTAATGACAGAGAGGACTCCACTACCTCACTGGCTTTGATTGGTTAATCGGGCAGGTTAAACACATCTCAGGATTGGTTAGTTGTAGCGGTAGTCAAAATCTGAACGTCTCTGATGGCAGAACCAGACTGTCCAGTAGAGGTGTGCATCGGATCGGTTGGACGTTTATAATCCGACAATTGGCTAATGTTTAAAATCCAATCCGAAATTGTCTAATCCGAATCCGATCCGAGTTGTAATAAAGTATTCCAATCCGATCCGATCCGAAGAATTCTTTAATAAAATAAATTTTTCATTCACGTTGAAATGTTTAACCAAATGAATAGAAAAACAAGAAATACATGTCAAGAAGCTGACAAAGTGACGTCCAATTGAAGTATCAAACGAAAAATGCAGCGACAACCGCGATAATGCTTTGATAAATGCATGGATAATTAATTCTTGCAATAATACGTGGATAATTAATTCATTTTATTTCGAATATCGAAGTCCGATCCGATCCGACTGCGAAACAACTTTATCAATCCGATCCGATATGTATATTTTTGTTCCGAAATCCGAACGGATCGGATTCGGATCGGATTTGCACACCTCTACTGTCCAGAGCAGAACTATAACGCCAAACCAACCTGTTATATGACTTTTCTGACCAACTCTTGGTAAAAACACTGCATCTACTCTTGCACAACTATATTCTAATAAACATACAAGAAATAAATAAGACATCGATACCAGATTGACTGTATAATGTACAAAAAAATTAATTTTTAATAATATTAGTATAAACCAAACAATGCTGACCGTTTTCTGTGTTCAGTAAATTACAAAATTCTCTTTGATTATGAATGTCGACATCTAACTGCTTCTTTCTCAGAAACGCTGCTATCCTGCGGTCAATTTCTGCCTTACTCGCAGTGATTTGAACTAAGGATGCATCCATTCTCTCTGCATACTGAATTTCAGGCTTAATACTTTTGATATCTTCAGGAATATCTTGTTCTTGTGTTGTCTTAGACTTTGTTCTTTCATTCAACATCGCCTGTGTTGGGTAGAAACCTTAGTCCGTAATTTTCCATATTCAACATGAAACCTTGAACACTATATTTCACAATAATCGCAAATTTGGGCCACGCATGCGCATTAATGTTTTGATGGCACCTTTAAAATTAATTGCCCTCCACATTCACAGATATTTCTTCAAAAGAATAAGTCTTACCTACCTGAAGCGTTTCTACAAATTGGCATAAAAGTTGCCAAAATTTCGCTTGTCCCAACGAATTTTCGACAAACGAGGGAAGCTTATCGTAATTCACTCGAAAATCTACGCATTCTCCGGCCATCTGTCAAGACAAAATAACACCTATAATGTCAGAAGAGGCAGCTGTGCAGCTTATTTGAAAGTCTGAAAGCATTTTGAAGAGCATACAAACCTTTTTTAAGTACAATTCGAAAACTTGCAAAACTTCCGCCATATTGGACGAGCGCTACTTGGAGACTGGGTCTAGAAGAAGGAAAATTCAAATTTCATATTTTTGAAACATGTGTAGATGAAAAGTTGTGTTTTAAGTTGCTTTTTGATTTGTTTTCTTGTTATTCTTTCTTCTGGAGGCTGGCAGAGGCTTTATAGCTTCACAGAGATGTTCTTCCATGTGAGTAATAATATCATTTGATATACTTTACCAAGGTTTTTCTACATACCATATGTGATACTGTCATACTGACAAATGACAATACATCGACACATACATGATATATGTATACATAATTTGCTAGAGGTAACAGACAGGATTGGACAGTTAAAATTTCTTGATCATTATTATCTGCAGATATCTCTTGAACATGAAATTCTGCTCCATCCTCGTTACTTTGGTCCCAACTTGCTTCAGACAGTGAAACAAAAGTTGTTCACAGAAGTGGAAGGAACATGCACTGGAAAGTATGTTTTCATCAAGCCTTTGTTTACAATATACTAGTAGTCCAGCGGATATGCACAGATATTTGAGAAAATCATGCACTTTGTGAAGAAAGCACCAAATTCACAGGTAGTGTAGACTTTAACATGATGATGAATCTTAGATATGGAGCCATCACCAGAAATTGATGCTGACAGCTTAATATTTAGGATTTCTTACATTCTCTTATTAATCTCGTATACAATTAAAAATTGTGAAATTGCAGGTTCACATATAGCAAAAATGACATGCGTCATTAGAAAGCTTACAAAAAACTGCATATAAGACATTTAAGCAGTTACTTTGATTTTCCAACTCCTCTGTCAGTTATGAGCAGTTGAAAATATGTTTTAGGGCTAGTGTCCAGGACTTTGGCGGGATTTTTGCCTATTTATCACGTTTTTAAATAGCAATAACTGGAAAACTGCTTGGAAAATCAATCAGCTGTTTAAAAGTCTTATATGTAGTTTTTTGTAAGCTTTCTAATCATGCAAGTCATTTTTGCTATATGTGAACCTGCAATTTCACAATTTTAAACAGTAATAGAGTTTAATAAGAGAATATAAGAAATCCTAAATTTTAAGCCGTCAGCATCAATTTTAGTGATGCCTCCGTATCTAAGATTCATTATCATGTTAAAGTCTACACTTCCTGTGAATTGGGTGCTTTCTTCACAAAGTGCATGATTTTTTACTTTTCCGCTGGACTATAGATAACTTCCTGTATAGCACCGCAAAAAGCACCTATCCAATATGGGACGTACAACTCTGTTACAATAATTCCTCTGAAAGTAGCGTTCCCAAAAGGTACGGATAGGTGTATTTCACATCAAGCCCAAGTTTCAATACTGTCATTCTTATCTAACAATAAACAGGTACAGACATTGTCTACTCTCATGTGAAACTTGTCAAGGGTATTTTGATAGGTTTTCAACTGATAAGCTAATGGTTTTATCTCAACATTTCACATTAAGAACAGTTCTGGAGGGTTGCCCCCCTTCCCCCCCCTGGCTATGTCACTGCATTACCTATGAATATTCATCTCCATGTAGATATGGTTTTATTATTGCTGTAACTACCATTGATAATATTGGTGTTGGTGCAATTCAACCTGGTAGAGGCTTTGTAGTTTATCCTGTGAAATATAAGGTAACATATATATTCCCTTTTTGTCAACTGTAAAGTAAAATCATCTGTTGATATTATAAGAAGGAATGCATCTATAATTGTGGCACATTGCTGCTTGATCAATTAAAGTCAAACTGAAATAATTGAATACTTGGCTTTCTTAATCAAGCTTTTGTTTGTGGTGTAGGCAATTGTATTCAGACCGTTTAAAGGAGAAGTCCTAGATGCTGTGGTCACACAGGTCAACAAGGCAAGTGTTGAAAAAATATTGTGTTAGCATGATTATAGTTTCAGCTTGATATGTCATAGTTTTAATTAATCCATTAACCCATTGAGTGACAGCACTCTCCCCCTGACGAGTAAAATTGTCTGGCATTAGACAGAGTAAAATAATAAAGTAGGGTGCATCTGGGTGCATTGCCACTTGAAGGGTTAAAGTGCAAGACTCTCCCCTTGATGAGTAAAATTGTCAGGCTTTAGATGGAGTAAGATATTGTAGGGTGCATAAAATAAGTACATCTGTACATATGGATGCATTGCATCTTAATGAGTTTTAAAGTGATCTTCAACAAATGCAGATTGAAAGAGATGCAACTTAAAACCTTTCAAGTATAAGCAAAACTTTGACATTTTGAACAAAGGCCCTTCGTTGGGAAATCAGTATCCAATATTGTCATATTTTGTTTGCAGGTTGGATTGTTTACAGACATTGGGCCACTTTCATGTTTTATCTCTAGACATGTAAGTATAATCTTGTGTGCATATTGCAGATGATCATCAAATTCTTTTTCAAATTTAAAATTAATTTTTAACTCAACTCCTTCTCCCTTTAGTCCATTCCACCAGACATGAAGTTTGATCCACAGAGTAATCCACCATGTTATAAAACAGAAGAAGAGGTGGGGTCTGTTTTTGGTACTGTCATGCATAAACAGATTTTCTGGGGAAGGGGGAAGCAAAATCTGTCTATGCTGTAATGATCAAAACCGTGGGTCAGTAGGTGCATGATTCATTTGGTGACAATTGTACTTTGTGTTGTAGGATGTAGTCATTCAACAACATGATGAAATACGATTACGCATTGTTGGCACAAGAGTCGATGCTAATGACATAGTAAGCTGTTTGGTTTCAGTTTTAGACATTTTTTTGTCAAATTGAATGAGAAATCAACAATCGTTTGTCTTGCTTTCCTGGACAGAGAAAACTGCATGTGTAATTAGCCCATGGTGTAATCAGGGATGGATTACCTGGGGGGGGTTGGCACCCCCTAGCCCTGAGACAGGCACAGATTTTCTGGGGGGTGCGGGGGTGCACACCCCAGAAATGATTTGCGCCCCCCAGAAATGATTTGCACACCCGCACCCCCAGAAATGATTTGCACCCCCCAGAGGCATTTGGCACTGCCCCAAAAGTTTTTGCACCCCCGCAAATCATATATATTTTGATTTGATAGTTTCATATTTGATTATTCTTACTAATAAATTTGTAAAATTACCAATATTATGGTCTCAGATCTCGCCATGCAGGCCTAGAAAACAAATTTTGTCAAACTTTTTCCTTGGCCTTTCCGGGCATTGCCACCAGGCCCCGGCCAAAGCAAGCAGCAGCACCCCCCCCCAGATATTATCCACCCCCACCCCCGTACAAAAATATGAAAATATGTCTCTGCCCTGAGATACAGTAATTTGAGTAACAACATGATGATAATTGATAAGCGAACTGTGAACAGCAATTATAGTTCAAATACAGTAGTCAAGCAAATACAGTAGTCAAGCAAGTACAGTACTGCTGTATATTGATGGGCGGGCGGCGCATGTAACCGACACAACTCTGTGCACCATCTGGTAGAGCACCCCCCTACCAGATCATACTGGATCCATGCCTGGGTGTAATCGCTAATGTTTGTCTCTATTTGTTTTATTTCAGTTTGCAATAGGATCTCTCATGGATGACTTTCTTGGTAGGTTCTTGTATCTGAGAATTTGAGAACATAAATGTGAAATGATTATTCTGACATTTCTTTCACCATTTTTCATTTTTAGGAGTTGTTGGTGGATAATGTTGGATAGAACCGTATGCTGTTTTCATGCACTACACCTTCCATCCACCCAGGTTTGGTGTTGTAAAAACTGATCTTAAACTGGACAAGTTTTCTATTTCAATATTTTAACCATTTTCAAATTTATATTTATAGACATGTACATACTTTATATCTTTGCTGCATAATTAGTTTATCAATAGCTAGAACTCCTGCACTTTTCAACCCATAGTAAAAATTTGCTGATAATGAAAGAGACTGGCATTTTTTATTCCCTCTAATGAGCTGTGAACAAGGTTTTGTTCATTTCAAGTTATCATCCAGATGCCATGCATGAGCTCGTTCTGAGGTCAACTGTGATTGGCCTGTATCAATGGTTGTCATAATTAATTTGCTTTGATGGAAGTAGATTTGGTTCATTCTCGTTTAAAACATTTTCATAAGCTATTAAGCTTTAATTACAAGCACAACGCATCTCACTATCGTAAGTGTAACGCCAAGTTTACGGAGTATGAAAAAATGAAAATAAAATTTCCTCCATTCCTGAATTTTCTCCTCCCAAAATTTCCTGTACAGAGAGATCATTTTGGTAATTTTCAGTTCAATTTGCAAGCATAAGGCAGTAGTTATTACAATATCATGAAATAGTTAATATATTAAAAGCAGGGATAATTGAGAACATTTTCAATGTTAATTTGTACAGACTGCGTATTCCGCATCATATATTTGTCCAAAATTACTTCACAAAAGTGTTATTTTCATTTATTTTTCACAAAAACTTGGTAAAAGCTAGTCGCAAAGTCAGACCACTTAAGTTTATATTTATTTTATAAAGATATTGTCTTTAAAATGCTCTTGTGTGTTACACTTATAAATCATTCATTGTGAATGATTCTCCGAGTTAAGTTGTTGTCGCAGTCAGTCTTGCTCTTTTCAATTGGGCGAAACACCTGCGCGTCTCGATCTATTGTCAAACGAAAAGTTAAATGCTTGTGCCTTAATACTGCAATCTGATTGGTGCACACTTTATTAAATTTGCTGCTAGATTGGCCTCCTGTGATGAGCACTCGCGAAGTTTATAATATGTTCCCATTAATGAAAGTTGATTAAAGAGGCCGAGGCAAACTGTTACTTAAAATACGTCGATCAATATATCATAAGATCTTACTGATACTGTCTGTATATTATTGTAATAGAAAAATAAGCTCGTCAGTGAGTGATATTTATTGCTTCGAGATTATACGACCTAGACTGATAAATTAGCGCTGTATTGCAGTACAATAAGATTCGAGAACTTAACTCATTTCAAAATTGTTACAGAATCAAAATTTCGTTCTAATTCTAATTAGAAAGCTTTGGAATTTTCCCCCAATTCTAATTTGTATTGAGATCTTGCTAATACTGTAAGTCTATATATTGAAATAGAAAAATAAGTTCTTCTGAGGGCGGCGGTATTTATTGCTTCGAGAAAACGTCATTTGAATTATATGACCCTGAATAAATTAGCGCCATATTACATGTAATAAATCAAGTTTTCGAGGATCAAAATTTCGTTCTAATTCTAATTAGAAAACTTTCAATTGGAATTTTTTTCCTAATTCTAATTTGTATTGAGAGAAGTAATACTGTAAGTCTATGTATTGAAATAGAAAAATAAGTTCTGAGTGGGTGGCGGTATTTATTGCTTCGAGAAAACGTCATTTGAATTATATGACCCTGAATAAATTAGCGCTGTTTAGTGTATTATACATGTAATAAATCCAACATTGTTGCAAAAAATTTCGTTCTAATTCTAATTAGAAAGCTTCGGAATTTTTTCCCCAATTCTAATTTGTATTATGTTCTGAAATCATTTAAAAAAATTAAACTGAGTTAAAAAGAAATGAAATTTCCTCCTTTCCTAAATTTTCTCCTCCACGTGTTAGTGGCATAGTCATAGACATGGCTTGAAAAAAGTCATATGGATGACCAGTTTCATATTATTCTGACACTACAATCGGCCAACGAAAAATTCGTTGGCTCGAGCGGGATTTGAAATTTAAATTTAAGTGTGAAACTTTCTTCATATATTATTTATGGCCGGAATTCTAACACTGTCATTAGCCGAATTCATATTAGAGACGGGAAACTGGTCTCAGACGGGAAACTCGTCTAATATGAATCCGGGCGCAGACGAGTTTCCCGTCCGAACTTTCCCGTCTAACAAGTTAGACGGGAATCTCGTCTAGACGGGAAACTCGTCTTAAATTCGAATTTACCCGTCCCTAAATTCATATTCAGACGGGTTTTCGCAGACGAGTTTGCCGTCCCTAATATGAATTCGGCTATTGTTTCAGACATCACCCCACAACGACCAAGGGTGTAATTTCACGTGCACTGCATGACACTATATGTTTAAACATTAATATTCTGCATATATTGTATATGCATGCGTTTTATTGTGCACACAAAAGAATTCGTACTTAAATTATACTTAATAAGGTGTTTATGTTTCAATGCCTCAAAAGGAATCGAAAAATTTTTTTAAAAGAGCAGAACTACAATGAGTTGCTTGGCAAAATGCTGTTATAGAACGATGCATATTTGTGCTATCTAAATCAAATAATCCTTTTCGACACGACGGCTATTAAAATATTTGCAGAAAGATAACAGCGAACTTAAAAAATTAAAAATGCAAATCGCCTCTTTTAAGACTTGAGCCTTTCTCAGTTGTTGAAACATTCTTTCAAGTGTGAAGTGGAAATCATTTGCTGACTGCATGTACGATTGTACGTGTATAACTAGTGAAAGCTAGGGAAAATATAATAATTATAAATATAAAAAAGTATTTGTAGCACTTTATCTAAAAATATGAAATTGCATGGAACAATGCATTCATTATACATTCAAAGAAAACATACATGCAGTCACATTGTCATACAGGTCAAATTATATATGCTGTGTAATGAAATGTATTTCACCTTTTGTTTGCCAAAAGAAATATAGCTCAAGCTTAGAGAATCGACTATGTTAACGCCTGATAGGATACAGTCGTTTTAAAATGACTTTCAGTTATATTGAAACTTTATATGATTTTATGTATAGCTATAATACTGAATTCTCAGCTTCATATAATATAATTTAAAACATGAACCATGTATATATAGGCATTAATCATAAAGCACGCATGCATGTATTAGTTATGATTGGGTGCAGGCAATTTAGAAGTAAAGGACTCAACTATATGTATAGACTTTATGGTTTGTTTTACCAGTTGCCAAAAATTCTTATTAATTGGGATAAAATTCTTCTATATCTATTTGATAATTTTCGGTTCAGTTATTGGAACATGGATATACAATGTCATAAGGTTTAATAGAACCCACATATACACTATAACAAGTTAATCAAAGACCTGTACCTAAGTTTTGTGTATAAACTTGTGTCTTGCAATGCCGACCTAATGCTATATAACATTACCAAAATGATTTGCATTTTATTAAAAATTTTCCATTTGCTTTTAAGTCGCTTGAAAGATGAATACATAATGAAGTTAAAATTCCTTTGTCTGTCACAAAACACACTGTCATGCATTTTACAGTTACAGGTGAAATTCTCTTAATATAACACATTTATTTAGCCTTTTGTCGGTCGCTGTATAAATATTGTGCTTCGACATGGCATTTCGAAAAAGGCTGAGTGCATTTTCGAATGTTGGAAAAAAGTTCGATTTATGTATAATTGCTACATTTGTGGAACATTAAAGATATACATTCGTGTAATAGGGCTGTATTCGTAGATAACTAGAAGAGCTTAGAGTTATTGGCATGGATATAGAAATGAAGCGATCTCATTGGTCAAACAATGCATCTAAACACGTGGCGAGACAACAAAAACTGTATGTTTAACAAAGAGGCGCAGGACGCGTGTGGCATTTGCAATTAGCAATCCATAAACCCCTTAGTTTCGTCCGGACAACGCAAGCAGCTGTCGTAGCTTGTAATTATAACATTCGTGCACATTCGACACTGCTATCACAACACATTGCATAGTCACACTGAAAACATCTCGCTGAATTGAGCTACAAAATTAACTTGATTATCGAAGCATCGCCGAGCAAACCAGGCGAATTTTAACGTATAGCTACACTCTTCATTCCATTACATTTCGTTTGAAGGAATTTCGTTTTTGACCCGCGTTTACCCGGTACCTGCCAGAACCCATCATGCCGAAAGCTTTCCTTGTGAAGAAATTCAAGACATCGAAATGGTCAACACATGCTGCAAAAATCGACAAGAAGCTTTTGCGTGAAATTCAACGCGGTAGCGAAGTCGAATTTCGTGTGAAGACTATGAAAATCAAAAAGAAATCCACAATTCCCGAAACGAAATTCGCTACAAAGGAGTTATTTTACGCCACCGATAAACAAACATCGCGACCGTCGGAGATTCATTATTCGACTACATCATTCCAGAGCTGTTTGGACGCTTTAAAAAACCAAGCAAAATGCTACAAGGAGGATGACAAGCGGGGGAAAGTCGAAAAAGGTTCACGAAATTCAACGACGAATTCAAGCCGGCCGTTGATCGTACCGAATGAAAAATTCGAATTCCCAAAGCCGAGCGGTCCGTTGCCACAGTCACAGTATATTTGTCAACTTTGTAAGGAGGTCTATCCTGATCCGTTTGCCTTAGCTCAACATCGTTGCTCTGGGATCAAACATACCGAATACCGTTGTCCAGAATGTGATAAAGTTTTTAGTTGTCCTGCAAATCTCGCTTCCCATCGTCGTTGGCACCGACCGCGCTCGCCCGGGCATACGGCGAAGAAGACAAACGCAGGACCGTCGATGGAGACAGATGAAGATTGTAAAACGAAACCAAGAAAACTATCCTCTCCGAATTCGTTAACGGAGTTGCCATTGAACAATAATAATACGGAGTACGTTTGCGAGATTTGTACGAAAACATTCCGACGAAAGAGCTACCTGCAAAAGCACATGAACAGTCACAATAAAGAGCGTCCATATCCTTGTCAATATTGTGGGAAGCTGTTCCGTAGTTTAACAAACCGTGCCAAGCATGTACTACAACATGCAGTCGGCAACGAAACCCTGCCTTGTGAAGTTTGTAGCGATACGTTCCCAGACAGAGAAAGTCTCGAGAAACATCAACGTTTACACAAAACCTTCGCTTGTGCGAACTGCGAGTCGATATTCGCCAGTGCGCCTGGTTTGGCCAAGCATGCATCGAAATGCCTGCAAGATCCCAGCTCGAAACGACTCAGTATTTTAGTTGAAGTTTAACTTGAGTAATCGTCCAAGTATCCACAGTTAATTGTGACACTTTGGTATGAAAATAAACGATTTATATATAGTTACGCTACGGAGCTGAAGGATTTATACATTTCCCTCCCGCGTACAGAAACATTTATATTAAGAACTCTTAATATATATTGAATAGAATAAAGAACAAATTTTATTTAACATTATATGAGATTATAGCTATATATATATATAAAATAGAATACAAAATCGAGGTTATTGCTGAGCAAATTCTACAACGGCATATCTTAGACTTAGACTTATAGTGTCGTTGGCAAAACATTTTGACTTTTGTATCAAATATCAAGGTTTGGTTGCGAGTGATTTAAAGGTTTTATTTAGAAGTACTACTTTAATTCAGATGATTTTATACTGTACAAAATTTTCGTACAAACTTGAATACTTTATGATAACTTCTGTTCTTTTCGATTGGAAAAGAATATTATTCTATATATATACAAACGGTGAAAAGCTTGCATAGTTGTACATATTTGCGTTGCCACTGGCCCTTTATCGCCTTATTTCAACACTGTAAAAACATTCTTTTAATTTGGTTTTCTTGGCTTTCACCTCGGATGCGTTAATGTACTGAATTTAAGATCGACGACTAAACTGTATAAAGTATCCTTACAATTCCCTTTGCATTTGTAAATAATTTCGGTAGTGAAAAAATTTGAAAGTATATTTGGGCGTATTGAAAATTAATGAGTCTTATTTAAATAGTTATATATGTGCCTATCAGAATTTGTGTATAGGATTCTATATGATGAAATGTGTTTAAAAATTTACTTAAAATTTCTTGTAGAAAAATTTAGTGTATCATTAAAAAGAACTGTTATTCTAGATGCCTTGTGTGCTGTTTTACGGCGTGGCAAGCGAGTTTTGTCGACGCATTGTTTCAGGCGTTGCGAAGCAGATGTTTTCTGTTTACAACATCAAAGCTTCTACTGCATTTTTGATTTGTAGCTATGCTATTGCTTAAAACTCTGAAAGTGGTCACGTTCGCAGTGATTTAACATTACACCAGTATATATATAGTTTTACTATTGGGAGGGAATACGTGTTTTAAAAGGCGCGCTGTAAGAAAAATTAAACCCGAATGAGAGCAACGCAATTCTGGTATGTGCGTGGAAATACTGAAGCTGCGTCATTACACAGCACGCGTCACTATATGACTTCTAAATGAAGCTTTGCGTCGTGAAGTCATTTTCAGCAAAAATGCGCAAAACGTTAAAGGTCGTTTTCCACTTCAACGTATCGTAGAATTTTCTTTTGTGCGAAAGTCATTAGTTCCACTCTAGTGGTCATGAAACAAAGAAATACGCTACGCTACGTTATACGGTTGAAGTGGAAAATCACCATGCAACTCGTATCACTACAAGATGAAAAATCCTCCATCAATGGCAGTCTATAAATTTTATTTGTTTGTTGGTAAATTGATCAAGTCGGGTGAATTTAGTTGACTTACCACCTATATATAAAACCTGATTCACGCTGTCAAAGTTTCTGTGAGAGTGGGAATGTTGCATAGGTAAATTCGTATAAGATTTGAAGGATTTGTAAGAAATATTTGGCGAAACTGGCTCAGTGTTTAACATTAAGTCTGTTCCATCAAATATTTCTTACAAATCCTTCAAAACCTATAATTTACGTATGTAAAATTCCTACTGTGGTCACAGAAACTTTGATAATGTAAACTAGGCTTAAGCCTCTATCCTTTGTGGCCATGCCAAATGAGAATCATCAGTTTTGCGCTTTTTGTGTCAACTTGCATGCGCTATATGACGTTCAACAGACATAGGGTCGCCGTTTGTACCTTGTGGAACCCCAGACCAGAGATAATGCTACGGCATGTGGAACTGCTGTAATTTGTTTCGAAAAATAACGAAATAGCATTTGCTGCCATTAATTTTAATATTTTACATATTATAAAAACAATTAAAACATTTCTACAATTTTTGCTAATTCCTATGTCTTTAATCGTGCAAGCGCGTGTGAATCTACTAATATGGCCCTGCCTGAAAATCTCATCCAATGTGAGGTGTTTTTGCACCAAAGTAGTACAACTAGAATGCCTACGCAAAAGTGAATACAAATGAGAGCAAGTGATTATCTTGAAAGTTAAGATATGATAATGTTTAAAACGATTGGCGGAGAGACATGATAGATAAACTTAATGTATTTGAACATATGATCTATTTTATTAAGTTAAATTTATGTTAAAACTTGTTGACATGCGTTTTTAATTTAATCTTGCCCATATTTTATGGACAGTTTTTCAAGATTTGTTTTCCCTCATGACGTCTGCCAAGTTAGCTCCCCTACACAAATTTTGCGGTGCGATTAACATAACTTTTTCTTGTTTCTCGATAGCATGTTTAAACATAGAAGAAAAACATCCTACGAATAACAACGCCATCTTGTAAACTCAAATATGAGTTATTTAAAAAAAACAAGATACAAATTATGGTGTGGTGATATTTCGACTCTATTTCAGGTTGTGAATATATGTTTATACATATATCATACATTTAACAATAAAATTTCAGCAGAAGATGTGTTCGCTTGCCATTTAATTGAAAGGACTGTGTACACATATACACAATGAGACATTTCATTACTCTGGTTGCCATGTGAAAACTACGTGTTCCCGCGGAGAGATGTGTAGTACATCATTGATGCTGAACAATAGCGGGAAAATGGCCAACATGAACGGCTGTTATTCGAAGACCCCCACGCTTGATAAACTGCGCGCTATAAAGCATGCTGTTTTACGCGGATTAGAACTGATTGGAACTGATTAGAACTACAAATTATCTCGAGTAAATATGCTAGCTTTCTTCTTAAAATATGCAGTCTTGCGCGAATTTGTTTTTGTGAAGATTTCCATGCGTTGAATAATTAATCGGTTGTGGAGTTTTTCTCACCCCCTTGAGATGCTGTTCTAAAAATTGTGAATGCGCGGATACCGAAAATATCTACTAGTTTTCAACTAATATCATAGTCGTGGAGTGCAGTATAATGTCGAACGGTAGCTGTGCCAGTGTAGGTCATATAGTCGCAATAATAACAAAACTTCTGATTGAATGGGATACAATTACTGCCTGAAAAATACAAGGAGAACTTCGACGTTTCGAGCGATGGCTCTTTGTCGGGAAGTTAGTAGAGATGAGTAGTATAGTGGCGGCTACTGTAACTTCCCGACGATCGAAGGGTCTTCGCTCGAAACCGTTGGGGTTCTCCTTGTATTTTTCAGGTAGTTGTATCCCCATCCTTTCGTAAAATGCGATCCTATTTTAAATTTTGGTCCGATTCTGGATTAGTATCAAAAACTTAAACATGAAAGATGTTATGTCCGTTTATAGTTTCGTTTTTTCAATTCTTTCTATTTTGTGAAATTTCAATGCTAACATTTTTTCTTCTCTCATCTGAAAATACGAGTAAAAATGTCAATGCTTTGTCGAGTATCTCAGGCTTGAATTCCAGAGTGAAAAGAGTGTTGTTATGAAACTAAATTAATTTTACCACGCATACTTAATAAGTTGTGCTCATTTGAGTTTTATTTATACAGCTATTTACTTAAAATTCAAGATTAGACTATCTTTTAATCAAGTTTACATTTTTCTACTTAAAAACACATGCCGTTGCTTAGAACGAAAAACTTGCCTCAAAAAATGCAGTAAACATTACCATATTATTTTATTAAGATGAATTAGTACGTCCTCAACGGAATCGGTAGGTTATAGCATGTATATAATTATTTGCGCGATATTTTTTATAGACCGCCTTTTGAAAACCGTGTGTTGCTCTCAGCAACGGTATACGGAAAATACGTCGTTCAGCTGCAGGCTGTGTTTCCACTACGGAAAATTAGAAGTTTCCAAATTGCGCAAAAAGTCTTGTGCCAACGTAGGAAGTGACAATAACACCACGAAACTGCGAATTGAGAGGGAATCGAATACCGCTGAAAAACACGAGCCAAACTTCGACGTCTCGAGCGTTGAATCCCTCTTCTATTACAGAATCTTTCTCAGAGATAATATCTGATTCGAACTCGTATTTTGCAGCTTTCTAGACCTCCACTCTACCCATTATCCTATCAAGCCTAACGCCTGTATTCTAAAAGCTCACTCAAAGAGTGGAGATCAATCTGAGCTTCCTTTGAGTGTCAGTGCTGTTTTTGAATAGCTGGAGGGTCAGTGTCGCACCTTACTGTGCGGTGGCTACTCACCCTCCAGCTATTTAAAAACAGCATTGACACTCAAGGGGAGCTGAAATTGAACCTCCACTCTTTGAGTGTGAGTGAGCTTTTAGAATACATGCAGGCGTAAGTGCATAAAATATTTTTGATACAGCTTAAGCTTGTCCTAATTGGACGACGTACTACCATACTGCAGTGTTTCAATTATATGTCTGCTTTTACACAAAACTGCTTGCAATACAATGTTATTGCATGCGTGTTTCCAGTGAATTTTTGCGTGATTTTACTACCAGATATACCTAAAAAGGCAGTTCAGTTTTGCATATACGTACATACACGTCATAGAAATAATAGATATAGATTGCATACTCTTATCTTTTCTCAGTAAGACCTTTGTCTCCACAAAATGGCGGATTTATACAGACGGCATTTTGGTTCGTACCAATCTCCTGTGCCAATTGCTTTTTTCAACAAAGTTTGCAAAAAAACATTTTTTTATCGAGACTTAAAATGGAAAAGGTTTTGTGTCGGAGATAAAGGTTTTGAAAACCCATTCCAATTGTTTTTTATGGAAAAACAATCTATTATTTTCTATAATATACGAACGAGAAATGGAATTTCATATCGCATTATGCCTAATATAATTTAACAGATTGAGAGCTTTTTGTGTTATTTTAATGACCGTAAAACAGCTGAGATATCGTTATTACACATCTAATATTATCTAGCCAGCATTTTATGCAAATGAGAGACGCTCCACTTAGATAATTAAATATGGCAATCGATATTGTGTATTGTACTTTCAATGCAAAGAATGAAACGATTAAAAATTAGATACTTGTATGGAAGGAAACGTATTATTGGGTGAAAAAACCACGAACTCCAATCGTGGTTGCAGTAACCACAAAAATTCTGGGAAGCTGCACAAAAATATTGTTTTCCTTAGGAAAGGAACTAGATTGAGTTCTGAAATATCATAATACATTTGATACATACACACATTATTCAGGCACTGCTTTTCATTGACCGATAGCACATCGAGTATTATACGCTTACTATGATTACATATTTAGCCTTATAGACTATTTATCTTTACAACAATTGTGATATCAATTTCCTAACTGTGTTTACCCTAACACACCCTGTCAGTTTTCCCTGCGGGTGGAAACCGGAGCACCCGGAGAAAACCCACGACTTTTGGCAGAGCGTTGACAGATTCTTGTCACATAAATGACATGAGTCCATTGGACGACTTGCGCTTTAGAAAAAATTTAATCTAAGTAAGAACAACGAAATCTATCACCACAGCTAGAAAGAGCGTCTTGGAATTAGTAATATTACAAAGTTTAGTTGCGAAATGTTGTAAAATACGGAAAATATAGCCCTTCAAAGTTGGCAAATTTGTATACTTTTTTATTACGTGCGTGAATTGGTAACTAAATTAGTTACCAATATATTTCCGCACGTAATATAGAAGTGTATACAAATTTGCCAACTTCGCAGGGCTATATTTTCCGTATTTTACAACATTTCGCAACCAAACTTTGCAGTTTTTCTAATTTTGATAACTTCTTTCCGAAAATATCCTTTGTTATTCCCAGATTAAAATTTTTTCTAAAGCGCAAGTCGTCCATTGAAGCCACGATCTCAGAGGTGACAGGCGCTTGCTCTCACGACTGCACCACATCGGAAAGCTGCAGATAGAGAGGGATTCAAGTACTTGAAAAATACAAGCAAAACGTCGACGCTTTGAGCGGAGGCCCTTTGTCGGGAAGTCCATGTTTTGCTTGTATTTGTTAGGTAGTTGAAGCCCTCTCAGCTTTCTGGTGTTATTGAAACCGTTCAACTTCACTACAAAACCCCACGAGTGCTTATTCAATAGTGAATGAATATTATCTGCGCTGGACCCTCTGTTTTTGATTGTATTGAAATCATGTATAGTAATGAAATAACAAATGTTTCAAATATGCCATGATGTGACCTACGCAGAGTTTAGTGTCTTAGACGAAAACACATCCGCAGGCAAGAGCATAAATTCTCATTGATGCTTACAAAGACACAAAGAAAATTAGCTGCAAACATGCCGATACAGACATTTTTAAAGAGCTTTCAACAAAGAAACACGCGCCAACGTAATGGATGGTTGCGCACGAGTAGGTTTGAAAACGTGCAATGAAAACTGAAAAGAATGAAGAGCCGGGTCTCCCAGGAGAGTCAATGTTCCTCTTTTAACTTGAATTCAAAGTTTTCCTTTGTTCCCTCAGTTCCAAAAAAAGATTTCATCACGTTCCCTTAATGCTCCCTGTCTGTGATTTGTAAGTTTTGTTCCTGTATTCCATGCAGTGCAAAGTATGCCTTGTTTAGTTGTTTCCTTGTTCTCTGAAATCCTCTGGATCTGGGAAACCCTCAACTGATGAACTGAGACTTGCGTGCAATGAAAATTGAAATGAGTTCTGAATACGAAGAAATTCCAAGATCCGTGCTAGGATTTATCGGCTTGGAGTTTTTATGGTTTACTTGTTTTTGAGTGACCTCGGCACGGGAGACCACCAAAATACCCGTAGTTTAAAACTGCAGGTTGCACCAGGCCGAGAAGAACCTCAGTCACTGGACCTCCGTGGAGGAGAGTTTAATTTACAACTAATAAAACTACCCAGTATAAATAAAGTTTAGTTTAGCAAAACTACTCAGAAATTGGCTTAACATTGTTTTAGGTTCACAGTGCGTGTGGAGTTCGGTAAATATGCAGATGAATAGAGATTAGAGGAAGAACTTATTTCGCTGACCTCAGAATGACATTTCGTCGAAACTTTTTTCTTCAAGATTGGTTTAGAAACAAACTTGGAGTAGGGTTAGGTTAGAGTTGGTGTTTGGAATAGGGTTAGTGTTAGTAAAACCGTTGCTTTGTTACGTTTTGTCACTCTGAGGCCAGCGAAATAACCTCTTCCATGAATAGAGGCCGAGATCTTTCGATTTGGAGAAATATGTTTTAAATACGTTTTTTAGAGCAAACAGTTGTACAAAATAATTGTTTTCTCGGTTGTTAAACAACTTGGTGTTACAACACACTAATATCATGCCGGCAAATATCATATCAATGTTCTTTCCCTACTCATTATACTTATAGCGTAGGAAACATTTCCTCAGGGCATCTTTATGTTCTTCATAATCAAATATTTGACCTCGTGCACTATTCAAATATTCATTGTTACCCTACTTTTTACTGTCAGCTGTAATCCTCGTATAATAAAGTTGCTTACTTACTTATTGCAGTTAGTTATGGTAAGCGAGTCACTGACAAACGACTAGCTGTCAGCTAGAATAAGACTAGGATCTAGTTTTGAAGGCTGGATCACAGCCACACCACTCAGGCTAGTTTTGATATTGTATTAAATGGCAAAGCGAGGGAATGTGTGAGATTACCCGTTCAATATTACAGTGATGACGACATCGTGACGTATACAGTTATGACGTCATCACTATCTGGTGACTTCTGCATTAGGCTAATCAGGGACGCCGGAACGATAAAAAGGCAAAGGGGGCAAACGCACACCAAAGGGCACCTCTATAGATAAAAAGTTCGAAATTTACCTGAAAATTTTTTTAACATGAAATTGTTTTTGGGCGACCTCCTCCCCCCCCCCGTCGCCAAATTTTTCGTGACGTAAAATTTTTCCGCACATCACCAATTTTCTCCATTTATCCAAATTTTTTTCTAAAATCCAAAAAATTTCTAAAATTTTTGTAAATTAACCTCATTCTTTTCCAAATTCACACTTATTTTTGTAAATTAACTTTCTCTGGGCCTATAAATTACCCGAAAAAGCATCACTGGAAATGTGATTTATCAGGTAGTATTTTACAACTAAAAGGGCACTTCTGCCCCCCTTGCCCCCCTAGCAAGATGGGCAGCTGCCCCTCCTGCACCCCCCCTCCCAGTTCCGGCATCCCTGAGGCTAATTATAGGCTAGCAGTTTTGGAATTTTTTGTTATAGTGTACATGTAATCCAAATACAAACAAAGCAAGATTAAATCAAGAGCCATATACACCTGTTAAGGGGTGTGTCACCAAATACAAATTGTCAAATATATTGATCAAAATTTTACTATAATCCTCAGGTTACCAAATGAGTTCTTTGATAATTTATTCAGCCTAACACCAGACGAATTTATTCACCCAAGTGATGAGCCTGATACACCTTTGTATTGATAGGAAAACTAAGCTATCTTCTCCAGAATTAACCCATTAAAGGTCAATATTTCCCTTTGACTAGTAAAATCATCTTGCACTAGACATTGGGTGTATTATGACACTTTGCAACTCAACAGGTTAAAGAAACTTAATATATTTCAATGAGCACAACTCAACTTATATTAAACCTTTACAAAATAATAACATAATTATTTCATACAGGCTTGTAATATCTGTGATGTTTTTCCCCTTGTATACAGACAGGTCTCAGTAGTGGTCTTGGTGATCAGAGTACAGAAATAATGTTCATTCTTTTCAGACTAAATATATGTGGTTGCAAACAAAATGGGAATACACCTGTTTGGAAAGCATGCTATGGAGCCTCCTTTTTGTGTACCTGACATCAGTCAAAATCTCAATCATGAAAACGAGGCTCTATAGCCAAGGTACTTTCCAGAAGCATGCATTGACAGGTGAAATTGATTTTTTGCCTCTTATGAATGTCAACATTTGTAAAGCTGACTGCCACCTGCTTGTCCTCTTACTGAAACCTGTTGATATCAGTATGTTGTACAATATAAATATAAACTCCAGACCAAGTCAGGTATTTTCAAAGACATCGTCATCATCAGGAGAGCCAACTTCCTCCAACTGTATCTGTGACTGACTTCGAATCGATAAACTAGTATGACTAACAAGCGATCCACCAGCTTCAAAGTCTGTGCTGCCATAATTCCAATGGTAGAAAACAAAAAATATTATATTCCCAAACACAAGGACAATGTTTATTGGCATTGCAATGTTCACATTTGATAAAGTACAGTTGTCAGGGTTCCAGTTTGTTGGCTGACAGCTGTGTTGGTTTGTTGATTGTATTTTCATGATAGGGGTAAGAACTGCAGGGCCGATGAACCTCCCGAAGGCGTCGGCAATGTTTAGTAGTCCCATGAAGAATCCTCTGCGATTCCGAGCTTGGTTGCTATAGTCTGTCATCTTCTGTGAGTAATACACTATGGTACCTGTTAAAAACCAGATGCCACCAAAAATGGTCAATACCGAACCCAAATAGAAAAAGGCATTGTTAACTGGCTGATGCATGTTCAAATCTAGCAAGAATATGAAACCAATAATGTTCGTAGCAAGACCGCATACGCTAAGCGCTATTGCACTCAATTTTGATTTTATCAGAAATCGAAGCAATAGACTCCCTGCAAAGAATGCCGTTCCAGCTGCAATGTAGACCTTCCATAAATCGGACTGTTTGTGTATGATGTGATACTGTGCAAATGCAAATGAGAACAGTTTACTGATGACACCCCACAGGCAAAGGTTACCAAGGAATAGTATCAAGCCAATCACAGCAGTATGATAAATCAACCCCTTTGCATCTTTGTAGTAGAACCGCATTGCAGCATGGGGTGCAAATGGGTTCTTAAACAGGACCAACATCATCGGTAACATGACAAGCAGGTCGTTCAACACAGCCACCCAAGCCGGGGTAGTGTAAAAATTCAGTATTTGTTCTTTTGTTGTTGCAGTTCTGTTTGATAGACTGTCAGGGAGTTGCAGGGGAACAAATGTTAACCCCAGAAATGGCCCTCCTAAGTAAGCAAGCGATTGTGCAATACGAAAATTCGCCACAACCCAACCACGGTCTTCTCTCGATGTTGTATTAGTTATATGAACTATACCGAGGATTAAACTTCCTGCGCCAAAACCAGACAAGAACCTACCCCAAACAGCAGCATGTTTTGAGTCCAAGGTATACGCCAAGCCGTATAACGCGTTACCGCAAGCATTCACGACTACAGACACGCACAAAGCGAATTTTGTCCCTCTTCTGTCTGCCAGGTAGCCAAAAATAGGCGAACTAACGATCTGTGCAAGAGCATAACTACCAAAAACAACGCCATAAACCGAAGGTTCTCCTCCAAGAGTCAGCCAATACTCTTCGATTGAAACTAGCGTTGCTGAATAGTCCAAGGACAACGCGAAACTTAGATAGTATATCGTTAAACCAGACAATAAAGTTTGTAGTGACATCTTGTAGAAATGTCAACAGGCCGGCGAGAATGCTGAGAGTAATATCCTTTATCGTTTTATATACACTTCAGTGACTTGAATCGCATCACTTCACAAGAAAAAAACCTGCGACCATTTTCGACGAACTGGTTTGGCTCACTGGGAGGTAAACCCCCAAGCTAAAGGAAGTATAAGGTTTCCTTTCGATTCAAAAATTCACTTGCTAGACAATGTTGTGAATTTGTGACACCAATATCGACTAAAATTCACTAAATAGTTTTATATTCTTGCATAATTTCTGGAAGGCGTGTTGTATTTAATAACGCCGCATTCCATAAAATATCGATTGCTGAGTAATGTATCAAATTTGTAAACAAAGCCGAAGGTCAGGTCATGATATTTGAATAGTCACCAGTTTATACGTCGTTTATATACGTAACAAAGGAAGTTAATATCAAGACATAAGTCATAACAAGATAAAATCATTGATTATCCATGCAGTTATAAACCTAGTAACTAACCACTGGCACAGAGCCACTGGTATTCAAGCAACATATCAAAACATACAAAGTTAATAAACAAGCGAATTAGGCACCGAATTTGTGGGGTTTTCGTTCGTGCGAATTAGTTAAAATCCATTTAAAACTTTCTGATGAATAATTGAATGAATAAAAGCAGTATAAAGTTTTGTGTATGGTTTAAGGTGTATTTGTTGCGGTAATTAGTACTACTATAAAAGTCAGAAAGGTTTGAACTTTCTGTACGTGACTTGGAAAATAAGCCTTGAGGCTGGGCGTGCCTGTGCGTTTTCCTGCTTGTATTTATACCAAATTAACTATAAAGAAGTCATTCATATGCCAGGGCCTGTTTAGCATCTTTATTAGCCTGCATGGCAGGCGGTACGCAGGAAATACCGCCTGCCGCAAAACTGGTAGCCTAATAGAGCCTGTGAGCAGGCTACAAAACTGGGTGTAAATGAACTACCGCCCCTGAAGCATCAACGCTATTTATAGATGCATTAATTAAGTAAATATTCAAAATTAGCCACTCCCAAGCTGCTCTCTGCTCCCAAGTCACAACTGCCCAACATAAAATAAATTCCTTGATTCTCATCACCGCCCGACTGAATTTTAACATCCTCGTGAAAACGTTTTATATTTAGTTACACAATATAAATGTACCGCCAGACAAAATAATTCGAGACAGTTAATTTTTTCATATTTTATATAGAGTTTTTATTGCCATTTTAAACTTCCAATTTGAAACAAACAGAATTTTGAGTGAAATTTCATTGTATTTTAAAGAAACCCAGTCATTCTGTCATTGTTCGTGGAGATACGAACTATTGATATATAAATTATATAACTATAAAATATAAAAAATAAATCTCCCACTGTCTTCGACATTTCAAAGTGTAGACTGTGTCTAGTGATGAGAATCAAGGAATTTATTTTATGTGTTAATATAAACCAAGCCCGTTTAGCTGCCTTAAAACGGTGGTTTAATAAGCTCAAAATACAAAGCATGCAAGTCTATACTATAGATTCATCATCTGTCAACAACCAAACTGAAAGTATTGAACCTTATAGAACGATAGTTTTTATTTGTTTACAACTATACATATTCAACGGGATATAAGAGTTTAACAGTTATTTGATAATTACTGCATCAACCGGCCCCTTGTTTATACTTTGGAGGTTCGTATATAATATCTATCAAGTATCTTTGGTTCAGAACATGACTGATAGGCCTATATGGAAATCCCACTGTTCGATTCAGTGAAGAAATATCTCCTAATTTCTATCGATAGTTTTAGTAAAATGTCAACATTATTGCGATTTATGGCCTTTGAAAGTCAAGCGAGATGGTATATTATCAAATTAATACGCATGTAATTGTCTGAACGAAAATATAGACTAGCCCATACCTTTCGCCGATCATAACTTCGGCCCCTTCGGACGTATCTTCTATGTTAAATATTCTTGTTCGAATCTCTATCAAAAACACTATTTAGAGTGTTATTTTTCAGCTTGTATCTTTTAATTTGCTTCTTTTATTATGTTATTCCATATCTGGTCTGACTTGACGTGAACTAATTTCAAAACGCAGAGTTTCAAAACGTCAAAACATTTGGTTAATGATTAACATTTAACCGAATTTAGCCGTTGATTGACAACTACATAAAAATACTAACCAATCCGTTTTTCCCGTTCACCAGCGGACGGGTAATTCAAAAAACCCTAGTTTTGCGGCAGACGGTATTTCCTTTGCTTCCCTAATTTTCGCTGCCCGTAGAAATACCGCCTGCCATGCAGGCTACATCTTTATTTATCCCTCACTCCTCTAGGGAGGTGCCCTCAACCCACAGCCCCAAACAGATTAGCAGGGCAAGGGCCAACACCCCCAACACCCCCTTGATGTTTTCAACTGCTATTTTTAATACTATTGTTGAATTCCCATTCGTGTAATTGTGGATTCTGGATCATACTGGTCCTTTCCAGTGTTAGTACATACTTTTCCAGGCAGTTCAGACTTCAGACACAAACCATATGGAAGCTTTTATATAAAGCCCCGGTCAAATGAGGATAAGAGTTGATGACGGTTGTCATTCACACATTGAACTATGGGGACATATCAAGCTCTAAATGAACAAAATCAAAGTTTGATGAGTGTTTCAACTATAGCTATGTTTTATAGAATACATGACAAATCTCATGCACTCTCATCCCCGAGCTTTCTAAATTGCAGATCTCTCCCCCTGGCCTGTGCATTTTTGGTTCCCCCTCCCCCGTCGTTTATCAACTCGCACCAGTTCTCAAATCACGGCGCGGTCGCCAATTAAAAACCTGAAAACCACCAAAAAATTTTCAACATGTCGAACGACGAAATAGTAATAAGAAGCCGTGGATCACGGCCAGCTAGGAACGAAGAACCAGCACAAAACACAGAGAATGCTGTCAACGAAGCACAACAAAATGCCGTAGAACAACCAGAACAACAGCAACAGCCACAAGAGTCGGTATGGAAAACAATTTTGACACGATTGTTCGTGTTTTGGTTGATATCACAGTTCTTCAAAAGCCGGCAAAGTAATACGAATCAAACTGGTATAAGATCCTCACGGAACCTCTTCCCGCTCGGAACTTCAGTGGTATGTTGTATATTTAGATAGAGTTTTTGATATTAAATGTATATTAACAAAGATAGTCTATATATTACCCACGTGTTTATGTGGTGATCACGTGATCACACATTTTAAAAAGTCGGATTTTTTTGTACAGTCATTGTGGATTTAATAGGGTCAGGGCACAGAATAGAGACTTTATAGAATTCTGATTCAGCCAATAAAGCATAACTGCCGCCATGCCTTGATTCGCAATGATTCATCAAAATGCACTCGCCATGTTTCTAGTTGAAATGAATATAACTGGAACGCTACCTTCAGATAAACTGCCTATCTTTTTCTTGAAGCCAAATCTTGACTCCAAGACATGCATGTCTGGGGGTCAAGACCCGCATGTTCATATCATGATTGACTGATTGAGCGCTCTTCACATGCGTGAAAAGACTGAGACTGGCCTTCAAGTTTGGCTTCAAATTTCCGGTTGGAGGTATAAAGTACCAGTTCTATTCATTTCAATGTGGAAACGTACACGAGGCATTCACCCCCCTGAACGTCCACCATATTGAATATTTCCACGGGGGTGAATGCCTCTTGTAAGCTTTCCAGCTTATATGATAATCAGTTGAGGGTTTATTTCATTCACTAGAAGTGAGACTGATGTAAATGCCAATTACTGAGGCTAATACTATAAAACCAAATAATCAGCCAATTAATCACCTTGGTATTCACATGACAAGTGTTTGTTCCTAGGACTTATGGGTATATCTCTCACCAGAGGAGGAAATATTCAGGGATCAATCACAAGTTGAGGACAAAAAATTAATTTGGTTTTTGAAAGAACTTAAAGTTGGGAATTGGACATCAGGACCAAATAATGATGGTTCACATTCATTTCATTATCAAGTCAAGACGTCAATGGTAATGTCGACAGTTCTGGTACTGTAACCATTAAATCATGCCTGGTAGCGCACATGCCTATATATAAATAATGTATTCTCTAACAATGTATTCTCAGAGAATATTTTCTGCTTCTTTCATTCCTCAGCCAGCAAAAAAATAATGTTCACTTCTTTGATAAGTTTGTACACATAGACACACCTTCCTTGTGTTCATCAAAATAGATGAACATCTTAATAAATTATCTCTCTATTTACCATGTTTTATCCACAAGCCAATTATCAGACAAACTATCTGTTAACCAGCCAGCCATTCTTTTGGTTTAAATAAAATTACTCTCTTCTTTTCCTGTAGGAAATGCAAAACAATGGCTCTTTATATCTTCATGCATTTATTACAAAATCTGGAAGTCCTCCAAATCCTCACCAACCTGGTTATAAGAAGCAAGACGTGGTTGGAAAAATAAGATGTATGTTCATGTTATTAGTTTTTATTGCAATCAAAACAGGAAAATTTCTGCAAATAATTTCTTGTCTAATTAAGATAAAAAGAATATTTAAAAAGTATAGTCAATATTTAGATTTTAAAGAATAGTTTTTTTTTAATTCCTACAGTAATGACAGTTTATCGTAAAAGAAGAATTCACAAGACTAAGAATTTATTGACTGGTGCAGCTGAAATTCAGTCAGACGCAGTAAGTTGGACATTATAATCATTATAATAGTGTATTTTGTCCCAATAATCAATAGTGAAATTAATTTTTATATTTGATAGAAAATAGGTGATAAAAATACTCCAATTGAATTAATATCATACTGGCATCCAAATCTCACCATAAATCTTCTCGATGATCAGACGCAGTGGACGAAAGGAAGTGTGCCTTCACCTCTTGATGAAGGTAAAAAAACATGTGTAAAAGATCACTTTCCAGTGGCATAGCCAGAATGAGTTCTGGGCGGTCAGCTTCGTTGCAAATGTGCCCCTCCTCCTTCCTTGAAATAAAATAAAGTTGATTGAAATTGTTTTTTAATTAATCTAAATTTCCTAATGGTAGCTTTTTAAAACATTCCCAGATTCCCTACAGATTAACCCCATTGAGTCGCAATGCGCCCGAGTGAGCCCTACTTATTTTTTTATGTGTCTGACGCCAGATGACTTTACTCATCAGTGGAGAAGCTCTGCAGCTTAATGGTTAACCAAAAAATCTGACAATGTCTCCAGTTAACCCATTGAGCCGAAGTGTGCCCTACTGATTTTTTTACTTGTCTAACACTAGACGATTTTACTTATCAATGGGGAAGCTCTGCAGCTTAATGGGTTAAATAAACTATAATATTTTGACTGGATGCCCTGCATATATCTGATAGGTTTCAATCAATAACCAAACTATGGACAAAGAATGGGAAACATTTTAGTCCCTCGTATATGGCTTTTCTGGAGTTACTCGAAAGTCTAACTATGTCTCTGACTCTAAGAACTTGTAGAGAATCATTTGGAAAATTACACTTAGTCTAACAGTTTGTAACCGAGTGTTCAGTTATAAAGTTATCAAATATTTCTCTCTGTTTAGTCATTGAGTTTGATAATGAAACTGGCAGTTATTATCCTGTTATGTATCTAAATGATTACTGGAATTATTTCAGTGACTATATGCCAGTCAATGAGACAACAAAGTAAGTACTTAATATGCTAAGACTATTATTATTATTTGTCTTCAAGGTTCTTTAATAGCACTATTTCTTTGATTAATTACAAAGCAGTTTTAGAATAAAATATAGAACGAAAAGAAAAAGGATGATAAAGTCAATATAGTGGTAGTGGTTGTCACAGTGGTCAAAGGAGCATAGTTTTCTAGTTGACCACTGTCTACTATTTCATGATATTAACTGAATGAGATAAAACCAAAAGAAACAAATTGTGTATCTAAATAACACACATTACAGTACATAATATATAACCAAGACTATTTGCAATTTATTAATTCATCATTTTTCTAAATTTGTTCAGATAGGAGAAATATTGAGTATTGTCTTTTAAATATACCAATTGATTCTGACCAGCAAAACCAGTAGAGTTGGCAAGTCTGCACATTGAAACTCACTAATTAAATTTCTTACCCCCCATGTAGAGTTCTAGATCTTTATCTGACATATGCACCACTGTCATTGTTTAAATGGCAAATGTTTGAATCTCAACGAATGAGAAAGAAATGGTTTGCCGTTCTTGGGGATGAGTTTCAAGATTCTGAAGACGATCAAGACTCAATGAAGGTAGTTTAAATGGGTTTTTTTACAGCATTGGCCTTTGTAGTGATCTGATCTCGGTGTAGCCTGCTCGCAGCCTGAAATAGCAGGCTAATCTCGGTGGAGCCACCTAACTTGTCAAGATATTTAGAAACTTATTATTTTATTTAAACAGAAAACAATGGCAGAGACAAGTCCATACTTGTTGGCTTTGACAGTTATTGTATCTCTTGTTCACAGTGTGTTTGAATTCTTGGCTTTTAAAAATGGTAAGCATTTTGTAATTTTCTGAGCAAACGTTCAACGAAAATTTTGCCAAGAAAGTTCGAACCTGTCGTTTGCCGTTCCCCGAAACGTGAAGTAAGAACTCCCTAATTTTCAGTCCTGACCGCGTAATTGCACAATTGTATTGAACAGACCTGGAAAAAGTGTTCAATGTCCCTCGGATCCTGAATTTGGCTTTTTCAAATGTTCCTCGATTATATTGGTTGTAAAATTGCTGAGCAAACAAAACAATCTTCAAATTCTATTAACAGGATATGAAGAACACTTCGCAGTCTCAAAGGAACGTGTGAAGGAATGTTGATGTCAATGATGATTTTTTCTTTCTGTACATAGATGTTTTTAATTTCTTCAAAGAAACGTTTCCCGGTTTATGTGTAGGCATGATAAACACTGAACGCAGAAGAAATGCAAGAAAGTAAATTTCTACCACAAGCTTTCACCCACAATATGGTGTATATTACATGAAAAATGCCGTATATTACATGAAAATTGCCGTAGAATTGGCGAAAATTGCCGTGGAAAGCCGCTGCACTTCTACGGCAATTTTTGACATCATGGCCTTGGAGAGGGAAATTCCAGGCCTGAATATATATACTGTAGTTTTCTTTTCTTCATTTAGATATTCAGTTCTGGCGTTCTCGCAAATCTCTTGAAGGTTTATCTGTTCGCTCTGTGTTTTTTAACGTCTTCCAGTCCGTGATTGTACTGCTGTATATTTGGGACAATGAAGCCAATATCGTAGTTATTATCAGCTGTTTCGTAGGTCTCGTTATAGAAATATGGAAAATACATAAAGTTGTCGATGTTACGGTGAGTCATTAGACAGATTTAGATGGACGACGTGGACGTCAAAGACGACGTGAAAATGGCGTCAAAATGACGTGGCATATCCATATATGGACACAACACGCCATTTTCACGTCGTCTTTGACGTCCGCGTCTTCGATCTAAATCTGTCTATTTGTTTCAAGTTACAAAGCCTTTTCAATTGAACATTCCGATCACCGGATCATGACTGGATGGAGAACAGTGAGATTTTCAAAACAATGAAAAGACAATGGGACATTCCGATCAATGGATCATGACTAGATGGCATGGAGAACAGTGGAATTTTAAAAAACAATGAAAAGACAATGGAACATCAAAGATTTTCTTATTTCTTTTATCATTTTTTCGCAGATTGACAGAGAAAACCCGTTATTTGGGCTTATTCCTCGCATAAAAATCACAGATAAACAATCGTATACGCAGTCGGCCACCAGACATTACGATACGGTAGGTTTTGCATGCGGCTGAGACGACAAGCAGAAAGCTGCAGTCTTGCAATTATGCCAAAGAAATACCTGGCTTTCCGCTTTCCCGACCTTACCTAGCTTGTGACCTAGCTTGTGGCCACTGAAATCACCGACCCTACCTAGCTTGTGGCCACTGAAATCACCGACCCTAATCTTTTTATCTGACGTTTGCAAAGAGTTTGGAGCAATTTTGCACATCCAGTTCATGGCATTAGTTTTGTACTATCTATATATATATATAAAGTATAACATGTTTGTTTCAAAGTTGATTAACATTTAACAAAGGTTTGTACCATCTATGCTGCCGTGTAATTGACGTAGAATATCTGATATACCCTACCTGCATGAGTTTTGGCAACAAGAAATAGATATCCAAGCAATGTTTGGCCTTATACAAAAGCGCGACTCGAATGTATTTCTTTCTCAACTTTTAGTTGGCATTTAAGTATCTTTCGTGGCTTCTCTTCCCGTTGTTATTTGGCTACTCCATATATTCATTATTTTATCAAGAACACAAAGGATGGTACTCGTGGGTATTAAGTATGCTTTATGGCTTTCTTTTAACTTTTGGTAAGTTTTCTTTGTGTATATATAAATTCTTTATTAAAATTGCCGTGGTTTATGTCTCAACTACTTGGGGGGAAAATTAAAACACTTTTAAGTGAAGGTCCACCGGTCCGAAACGTTGCGATATACAGACTTTTTGACGAAGGTCCATCGTTTGAATTGAAATTATTTTAAATTTTTTTCGGCAAATTCAGACCTACGTGATACATGCCTGTAGAAAGTAGGAAGTTATGGAGCGACGCTACCTCCAAAATCTAAAGGGCCAACTCCAAACCAAAATATACACTTGAATAACTTGTGTAATTCAAAACGTATGAGTTGAAATATGAATTGTGGAGTTACTGGCAAACTCCAAAAATCGTTTGGAGCTAGGTATAACTCCAAATTTGGCAGCTAACTGAGCTAAGCATCATTTAGGTGCTAAGCATCTAAGCCTGGAGTTACTGGCTAACTCCAAAAATCATTTGGAGCTAAGAATAACTTCAAAAATCATGAAAAAACTAGGTACCTAAGCCTTGAGTTACTGTCTAACTCCAAAAAGTATTGTGTAGCGAGGCAAGCCAGCCTATCCGCTAGGTATGTATAAAGCTTGAAGTTACTTGCTGTGTTGCTAATTCCAAAAATCATTTGGAGCTTGTTATCTAAGCCCGGAGTTACTGTATAACTAGAATAACTGCAAGAATGCACTCTCAGAATGCACTTCTATACTTGGCACACTTGGCATTGTGTTGTCGTTCAGAGGCTAAATTTTGATCTGCAGTTGCGGCAAATGCAGCGCAACTGCCGATCGTACCTGCTACCCTTGTCATGCTCTGTTGATCGCGTGTAAGACGGGCTCTGGGTACGAGAATGTGGCATAGTCTAGCTCCATTTAAAGATTGGCTACCTCCACAACAATAAAATCTACAGGTATGACGTGGTACGCATGCATGTTGTTTATATGTGTTGCCTCTCGCATGCCTTGTTCACTATTCTGATATGAAACATTGAATGGAGTAAAGGTAACAAAGCATTTGAATTAGATTTGTGAATTAATTCGGTGGCAAACTGCATGAGCACGCGTCAGCTGATTAGCAGGTCTTTGCATAAATCATGACGTCAGATTATGACGTCACGTTGTGACGTCACGCGTGTAAGAATTGATGTCTGTAATCAATAGATTAATCGAAGTGTTCTTTGATCAAATATTTTTTAAATTTGTGATCAGACATTGATAGTGTCCTTTGTTTATTTGTGTTTGATTTTAGTATACCTGTACGTTATGCAGTCAAAAAATTTTCCAAAACATTGATCAAAGAAGCTTTGTTGGTCTATACCAGTCCGAGAAAAAATAATCCATTGTTTTTAAATTGTTTATTGATATATACAGAAAGATAAGAAGTACAAGAATGGGTGATATTTATATATACAAAAATTATTGATTTATTTGTTCATTGCCTTATGAAGTAGATGTCCCAACCCCCACCCAATATCACCCATGTCTATATCAATTGTTACTGTTCAATATCCTGTTTATATCCCACCCCGACTATCCCATGTTTGTAGAAGTTCAAAAAATAAAAGTTCGTAAGAATGAACCGACGCTGGACCGGAGGACTTGATCTTTCGCTCGAAGGAAGAAAGCTTAGTTGTAGTTCACTTTCTTATTCATCAACATTCTCCACAATGTCGCTTCCCTCGCCGTCTTCTGCGACGACATCGTTGTTACTTGGTTCCGTGGCGTCAGGTGTATCATCTTCCGACACGCGTGCTATAACCCCAACACGTACGACTTCACTCAGTTGAGGTACTAAAGGTTGAGAGAAAGACACGTCAACGCAAGCCATGTCGTCTTCGACGTCGCCGTTCAAATCCTCTTGCAGTTCGTTTCGCACTTCGTGAGGTTCGCTGGCGATTTGAGGTTCCTCGCTGGCTGTGCTTCCATCCTGGTTGGCGGAAATTTCCACTTCCTTTTCCGTATCAACTGTTTCCGTGGCAACCGATTGGTCGGGCAACTTCACGGCTTCGGTGATGATGGCTCCACCTTCGGCTTCATCGTCAGCTTCGATAAGGTTTGCTTCGGCACCAACTTCAAAACTAAGCGACACTTGGGATGGTTGTGTAGCAATGGCGGACTTGGTGATGACGTCTAATTGAACATTATTGCTGACGTCAGATTGGACCTTGTTAATTACGTCAGCTTTAATTTCATTGGTGACGTCAGCTTCAATCATGGCGTCAGCTTTGATCATGGCGTCAGCTTGAGCTTCGGTTTGGAGTGAAGACACTTTCACGTCATTGCCAACTTCCAGAACGCCTGTGTCGACTTCGTTTCCGACTTTGGCAGCGTTCTCGTTCGGCAAAACTTCGCTCTTTGCCTTCGAGGCTTCGCCCTCGGCTTCGACTTTATCACGAACAGCAGCCGGCAGCTTTGCCTTTTCTGCTTCAACTTCGCGTTCAACGTCAGCAGCCCTTGGCAAAAGTGCTTCTTTTGCGGCCTCGACAACTGCCTTGGCATCGTCCTTGCCATTCGACAACTGGCTTTCGCTGGCGTTGCCTTTGATTGGCTCCTGGCTTTCAGCCTTGCCTTTGATTGGCTCCTGGATTGCAGCCTTGATTGTCATTGGCTCGTCTTGGTTTGCATCGTCTTGCATAAGTGTTTCTAACGATATTTTTTGAGGTTCATCGCCGCCACCTTGCTTTGCCGATGTCGTTGTTTTCACCTTGTCTGAATCACCAGCCGCACTCGTTGCTGCTTTGTTCTTCAGAGCTTCTAACTTGGCTGCAAAATTGAAAAAAAATAAAGATGAGCATATAAACTAAACAAGCTAACTTTAGGAACAGTAGCTCTATCAGTCTCTAAACTGTTCACATTAGAGCTGCAGTAAGTCACAAACGCAGCTATACCTTTTTCCCGCTCTGCTTTTTCCTGAGCTTTACGGGCGGTGACGACAGCGGGTTCCTGACCACTCATATCTGATAGTCCACCAATGCTGAAGTGAAGATTACTTGGAATTCCCGTTGTCAACGAACTGTTAGTCTGCAACCAGAGAATATCATCTTGATTGACCTCATTAAGATCGTCCTTCTTCCGAAAACATCCGAAACATCCACCCATACTTGAAATTTTCCAACAATAACTCGCTTACTCACAATGAGAAAGAGAACCGTATTCCGCGAAACGCAACAATACAGTGACTTAATTAAATTGTGTCGTTCTAATTTATTGAGCAATTAATTAGCGCTTTAATTGATACGTAATTTCCGGTTGTGGAAACTAATTACTGGAATACGCTGATCTGAATGTTGACTGGATAGAGCAAAACCAGTTAGACAATACTAGAAATACGTCTAGCCGCCTGGGGGCCAATTGGGAAAAATATTTCTCTTTGTAGGAAAACTAGTGGGGTAGCATCGTTGCCCGCAGATCAAATCGTTGCTGAGTAAACTGCTAAATTAGATAATAAATTATTTAAGATTTAAGTGTATGAGAAACAAAACACTTAACGAAAACGAATCAGCCCGCCACATGTAAATAGCCCCATAGGATGAACTTTCAAATAGAAACCAAATGCTTTTGAATCGTTGGCAAAAATGTTGCTTTCTCGGGACAGATCATTTGGCTTTCCTTACAATATTTTTACCGTGGGCCTGATCCAAACAAGGGAACATTTTGGGAAGCATCAATAGCTTTCATAGTTTTAATAACTTTGTATATTTCGTTTAGGTTTTATAATGATGACTCCTCAGTTATTTATCAACTACAAAATGAAGTCTGTTGCTCACTTACCCTGGAGAATGCTCACTTATAAAGCACTCAACACATTCATTGATGATCTCTTCGCTTTCATTATAAAAATGCCGACTTTGTATCGTCTGGGCTGTTTACGAGACGGTGAGTTGAGAACTTTATGCAGTGAGGTATCGGTTTATTGTAGATAGATTACATAGAACAAAGTTGTATTAGATTATACCTCAAAGCTAAAATAAAGCTGGGGAAATTGACAACCGGAACCCCTAAATTTAGGGGTCCCGGTTCTTTGTCGGCATGTACGATCGATAAACGTTAAACCAATCACAGCACAGGAAAAATTCAATTTCCCCAGAGCCAATGCCATCCTAGCCCGCACACAGGCATTGCTCTGGCTACGAGATTGGTAAGGGACACCCCTTAACTAAACTAAGATAGCTTCATCGAACTGCCTGGAAACTTTCTTGACCAGTGATAGTACTGAAGGAGAAAAACCGCTGTGTTTGTTAATCCAGCCCCCCCCCCCCGGCATCTGACGTCCGTGTTGACAAAAATGTCGCTTGCTTAAACTCCCTATTGTAATCGGACATTCTGTACTACAGGCCACAGAAGTGAAAATCTCACGCACCAAGTCCTGTGTTTTAAGGTTACAGAACACCTTTGAGTGTTAATTTTGCCTAAATTTCTTTTATTGGTTTCCATGAAAGCATTAGACTAGTTCTACTATCTGACCAAGTTTGAACGAAAAATGTTGAAAACTCGCAGAGTTATTTAATAAAATACATTTCGCTTGCAATAACAAAAACATTGAAAATGTAATATTCAAATTCAATTTTCTCCCGAAGAATTTTACGGTAATTACTGATTTTCAAACGAGTTGTGCTCCTGCGGGTTTTAACCAATTTTTCTCAAATTTTCACAGGACATAGCTAAATACGTCAGTTTCAAAATTGTTTGCGGCTTTTTTTAATTTTGGATATTTTAAAAATAAAGAGCAATTCACTCAAAGAATTCAGAAATATATTGCAGTCGTCAAAGAAATCGCCATATCAGCGGAATGACGAAATAAACAAAAAATTCCGAACACAATTTTTTAGAACAACTATTTTACTGTATAAAAATGATATTTTAATAAATATAACTTAAAACCAGCAGGAGCACAACTCAAAAGCGTAAAGGTACCGCGATTTAAGATTTTCCTGAATAATTCTTACATTATTTTATTGTTTGTTAATTTTACAACTTTACCATATTTTGCATGCACTGGAGAACATTTGGTGAAAATTTGATGAAAATCGGACTGATATTGAGCGCGCAGTAGCGATTTTCCGCAAAACGCCAAAAAGGGTGTCCTGTGTTACAAACACCCAGTCTCAAAACAATATCTGTTTTTTTAAACAGACGTGATATTCTTCATATATCTTTATCAAAAATGGATCTATCCTATCGACTACAAACGTGTCAATGAATTTGGAGTGAGTGGTGACGATCTACAACAATTCGACAGCAATGGAGTTCTCGTCAAAACTGATGAAACTCAAGCGATTGGGACCTCCAATGAGTCTTCTGAAAATGGCGAAGTCCATGCAAAAAGTGAATAATGCATGGCTTTTGGAAATTGCCGTGTTACGCGGGAGGGATGGTGTTAGGGTGTTATTTCAAATTTTTGGGGGAATTTTAGTTTCTTGTCAAATGAAAATACGAGTTTTTGTTTGACAATGTGTAACATTCAACATTACATATAGAAAGCATATCTGTAGAAAAATTACCTGACCATACTGTATTATATTATCATTGAATATAAATTCTTCGTTCGAAAATGTAATTTTAATGCATGCGAAAATACATTTGGTTAATTAATTAAATTAAATTAAAAATATAGAAATCCCATACCAGGTTTACTCCGTTCTGTGTTTTCCGCATTGTCCGTTTCCGCGGATTTCCTATATCCGCTCCCTGAATTTTTTTCTGGAATTTTCTATTATAGCGACTGATATCCGTATTTTTCCTGCTATCGAGTATTAGCCAATAGGAAGACAGGAAATATTGTTCTAGCCAATCAGATTTCTGCTACCATAACAAACTTTTCCCGGGCTTAGTTATCAACACTTTTAAAGTCCTCGAGCAGAAGCAGTCATTTGTATTTTAAATTCTGTCTTTGATAAAGAAAAAGTTAATTTGTTAATCATGGACGTTTCTCCGGGCAGCCTAGCCAAGCAAATAAGCATTGAGCGAAGATTTAACTGTGTTGTTTGCCTCTGTGCGCGTTTTCAAATGGTCTATGGCCAGTGTCAACATAGAATTTGCACGAAATGTGCTTATGGGTCGAGCGGTGTCCTTCGCCAGCAGTTTCAGCGTTGCCCTTCCTGTCAACAAGAAGATTCCTTTCCTGAACGAAAGCCTACTATTCCTGAAGATAATATAACGCTACAGAAGTTGCTTGGTGTCACGGCTTGTCAGAATAAAGGTTGTACGCAGGAATTTTGGTCTTGGGAAAAATCCGAACATGACTTGTGAGTATCCTGTTTGAAACACGAGGCAGGTCATTAGGATAGAAAGCTAAAAATATTGCAAATCTTAATATAGCCAGCAAGCCCGGAGAGTCCTAGGAAAATTAAGTATTTCCCTTTAAAAAATTTCCACAACATTCAACAATGCATATTTTCATGCTAGGTTTAATATTACAAAAACACTCGAGCTACAACAGTCAACAGATGGTTTATGTCAAGTGTGTTATTCAACTTCAAAATCCTGACTTTTCTGTAATACACCCTTTTGATAATTACGTCACAAATTAATCACTAGTTGGACCAGAAGCCTCGCTCTCGTGCATTACTGTAATGAGCCTTACATCTTGATTCACTAGAGCAAGGTTTCAAGACCAAGGCATTATTTCACAGTTACTATGCAACTGTGAACAATGTGTTCGAAAGGCTTCATTTTTATTTGCTATGTTACTAGTTACATTTTTACAATGCCCCGACACACACACACACACAGCATCAATTTCAGTCGACCAACAGCCCTCTGCAAGACCATTGATGGGTTTCTGTGAGCATTAGTGCAGGCAGCAAAGTCCCAAATAATTTCTATATATATATATGTGTAAGAAAGCTCAAAAATGGTTTGGAGTTAAAAATGGCGAATGCGTCTTGTGTTGTGAAATGGCATGGCCTAGAAAGAAAAGTCGTGAAAACTGTCATGTTATTTGTTTAGAACATGTCCCTATAAAAATTCACCTCGGAGAGGAAAACGTCCTTCAGATGCTCGGAAAAACCAAAGGTATGTAATTATCTAATGATTAACCCATTAAGCACCAGCGCTCTCCCCTTAACAAGTAAAATCGTCTGGCGTTAGACAGAGTAAAATACTAAAGTAGGGCGCATCAGGGTGCAATGCGACTCAATGGGTTAACTAGACACATGGGCAGATAGGCCAGTTAACCCATTAAGCGCCAGCGCTCTCCCCTTGATGAGTAAAATCGTCTGGCGTTAGACAGAGTAAAATACTAAAGTAGGGTGCATCAGGGTGCAATG